ATAGAGAAGCCCATCATGCCAAACCGAATCAAAGGCTTTCCTAAAGTCAACAAAACACGTATATATTTTCTCCTTGTGACAATGGACATATTTGTCTATTAATGTTCGAAGTGTGAGGACATGATCTGCTGTTCTATTATTTGCTAGAAAACCAATTTGAGACTTGTGAAGTATATTATTTAATTCAACGTGCCTTAGAAGTCTCTGATTGAGAACTGAGCAAAATAGTTTTCCAATACAACTGGAAATACAAATTCCACGGTAGTTTGATGGATCGCTTTTAGTACCACATTTAAAAATTGGTGTAATGAGGCCATCACACCACATTTGGGGCATAGTTCCTAAGTCGAGGACCGTGTTAAATAGTTTTAGATAAACAGGCATTAATTCGTTTAGGCTAGATTTGATCATTTCGTTTTTGATTTTGTCTGAAAAAGAAGATTTGTTGTTTTTGAGTTTTCCAGCTGCAGTGCGAATTTCACTTTCAGTGATGAGGTAATCCAAGGAGTGAGATCGTGTCGTAATATCCTTTCATTTCTGCAGCTCATCTATAATTGCCTCCTGCTGTTCATTAAGGGGTTCATTCGAGTGCAAAGATTGAAAGTGGGATATCCATTTTTCTTCAGAAATTGGAGGGGTGTAGGTTTCCTTCATAGTGTCGTCCATTGACTTCAAACAGTTCCAAAAGCTCTTATTGTTCGAATTTTCGACCGTATTTTCAAGTTCACAGATCTTATTGCTATAGTATTCGTTTCTCTTGTGTTTCTAAGTGCTCCGCCCAAGGGGGGAGAGCCCTGGGTACTAAGTGCTCCGCCCAAGTTATTAGGGGAGACTGTTGGCGATTGCTATTAGGATATTCTTTCGCTTGCTCTTGTTGACAGTTACCTTAAAGTGAATGGCTTTATTGTTTTGTACTGGGTCTAAGACCTGCACTGGTGACCACGTTTTTTTGCAACAACCAACTGATGTGGACTCCGCTTTTAATCTTGCGAGACTAAAAGATTTGTTACTCTTTGTAAATCAAACAGTGGTGAAGAAGCTGAGACATTCTCAGAGTAAAAGACTAAGGCCTGAAAAGAGGATATCAAACAAATTGTGATGGACGAATATAATATGTGGACTGAAACTAAAATAATGAAAGACATCGTATTAATCAGAAATTTCGATCTCGCAATTTTCCTTTCCGTTGCGGAGGCAATATTTTACGTAAAAAGCAGAAATTGGGTAGATATAGGAAATTCAATACTGGTAAGTGTCTATCTCTCATTATAAGGAACTAGCCTGGGACCAGGCTCCGCGGTGGGGGAAAAGGCAAAAAATGGGGTCAGTTAGGAGCAGAGCCTGGTCCCAGGCTACTAAGGAACAGGCTACATTCACCAATGTTTACTGAGCCCTGTGCAAATAATTCAAAAATGTTTATAATGAACACAATTTCCATTAACTTTAATTCAAATTGACAAACTGGTCATTATGCCATGCTGGACATTGAAAATAAAAAATACAACCCTGAAATTATGCAAGCTATATGGCTATATATTAATGTTACAGTTCACATTTTATATCAGGTTAATTTTGACCTAACCTAGTTTGATTGTCAATTTCCTTTGACTGCCAGCCTTAGTACGCAAGGAAATCAAGAATCAACCTAGAACAAATTTGACCTATAGGATATACATAAACATATATTTTAATGTTGCCATTTATTTAACAACTTCACTGTTTTTAAGGAAGTGGTCCAAACAAGACCAGACAATGAGAACACACCCGAGCTCAAAACTAAGGGTGGCTGGAGAAGCAAAGGACTTTGAGAAAGTCTAATGGGGGTGGTTCTTCAAAAACAAAAACCTTGTACTTTTTGCACTAGTCATAAAGAGGAGAGGATACAACAACAAGATGGTGGCAAGGATGGGGAGAAGGAAGAGACACCTCCATTCTTTTTGTTGAGTAGTTGGTCCTATCTGTGTACAATAGTTTTGACTACTTCCCTTAGAAATGATAATAACAACTTCAACTAAACCACAACTCTTAAAATCAAAGTACATTCTTAGCCTTTTGCTCCCCGTGGTGGCCCCATCAAACAATACTGCTCAAAAATACACTGAAAGGATTTTGTCCAGAGAGTTGAAAGTTACGTAGATGCCCAGGCACATAACTCACAGTGAGTCAGGTTTATTGAAGGTAACAGAGCCATAGTCTTTTAGAGATGAGGCATCATGTGTAATTGCCAAAGTTGTCAGCCTTCTACTCTAGGAGGTCTGGGGGTAGGCAAGGGTTTTTTCTTTCAGATAAGATTAAAATATTATTTTTCTGGGCAGTGTAACTGATACTGGTCCCAAAGACATGGCATCACTGATGTTTATGTTAAGCACCAACCCGCATCCAATAACCTGCAAGCAGAGGTTTTTTCGCTCATGGAATTCCGTTCTTGGTTTGCTTATGGCATAAACAGACCAACTACACATCTGACAGAGACATGAATGACTTCATAAAAGCTAAAGGCCATGCTGGAAAGAAATCTTACTTTAAAGGGTACCATCCAAGGGTACTTCCCCATATTATAGCACTTAAAAGCACTGAAACATTGTTCTGATGTCTAAAATTCTTATATGGTTAGTTAAAAAAAAAAAGTTAAAGGCATGTTTATAGTGGAAGGTACACTTAGCTAGTCAGCTAATTTACAGGCACTCCACTCAAATATTTAGAAACAAATAATTCAAATACAACATAACAGGATTAAAAACCCCAACTGGCAGAAGGCAACCAGTTGGCTATTTACAAGCGTGGCCGAGAATTTGAACTCGGGACGACCGAGCACAAATCCAGCAAGTGGCCAGAGCAGGACTCGAACCCGGGACCGCCGGATTGCGAGTCCGACGCGCTGACCACTCGGCCACGCTGCCTCCCCATGGTAGTAATAAATAATCAGTTTACCAAAGTAAGCAATATGTTTGTCACATGCTGCTGCACATTAATAGGCCTTTTTCAAAAATACCATAACACTCTTTGTTGTCCCTCCAAAATTTTGCATAAGCATTGTTTTCAACATTATTTCTCTTTAGGGTGCTTGTAAGTCCCAAGAGAAATTGAAGATGCTTATGCAAAATTTTGGAGAGACAACAAAGAGTATTATGGTACTTTTAAAAAAAGCCTATAAAACTTATGTCTTACTAAAGTACAGTTTGAGATATTTGTTTTTACCCCATTTTGCTTCAATCTCGCTAGGGTCCTGTATTAGCCAGTTGGTAACGTCCTATTTACTCAGTCCCAACCAAAACAAGACTCATGTCTGAGAATGTTTAAACTTATCAGTTTAGCTAAGTAATGCTGTTTTATCTCTCCCTTTTGGAATTCCAGTTTTCACTGGGCTGTGAGCGGGAACATCAGGCAAATTCACAGCAGTCCTGTCTTCATCAAAGTCCAATTGCCTTGACAAGAGAGAACTTGGATGCTGATGGCCTATGGAAGACCTACCACTTGAGAGGTCATAAGGAGGTGACCCAGCCTGTGCTATGGTTGCAGTATTTCGAATAGTGAGATTTTCTAACTCCCGTTCCAGCTCATCTAGCTCACTGGATCCCATCCCTGTGGTTTCAGAGATATAAGAGTTACCGCTTACAATTGCTGAATCTATGTCTTGAGATATACTTAAAGTCTCATTAACCTCATCCATCACCTCCTCAACACCTTCAATGCTTAAATCTGAATGCATGCACTTCAACATTGTAGCTCCTGATTTTAGAGCTTCCAGGACAGTTTTATTTGTGTGTGCATTCTGTATTTGGTGTAAAATTTCTTCTAAGGAGTGCAAGCTTGCTATTGTTTTATCCAGAGTCTGCTGTCGAAGTTCTTTCTTTTTCAGCAGTTTAAGCGCCTTAGATCTATGGCCAGCCTTTGCAAAACTAGCTGCTTGCATTCTGCATTTTTCCACCTCATTTGTCAGCTTATTCACTTGGAGTGTTAACATTGCCAACGTTTTCTTCAACCTTACTATTTCCACATCACTGTCGGAGACTGGTGCCACCTTTGTTTCCCCTTTCCTTGCAAATTTTACAACCTTTTCTCCTTCCTCTGTAATGAAAACCAGTGCTTTGTTTTGTTTCTGTAAAGCAGCTACAAGAATTGTGAGAGTCTGATCATCGAAATTTCCACAGCGTGCCTTGAGCACATTCCATGGTATTATGTGATCAGTTGTTTCACATTCCACGCGATCATAATGTTGCTTAAGAATCCACTGTGCCTTTTCCTTTGCATCATCCACTAAAACAAACTGCTCGTGACCATCGAGTTTTATATCACTACTTCCTTCCCAAACAAAACCTACACTCCACTGAAAAGATCTCTTCGCAAAGCCATACGACCACGACAACCAGCCTTCGCGAGCACAGTTTATAAACTCCTCTTTCCTTTCAATCTTTCCTTGTTGAAGCAATTCTTTTAAAACATTGTCCAACCCGAGAGGAGTCAGGCCATTTCGCGAAAATCTTCGCTTCAGCGTTGTTAGATCGATACAAATGTCCCCGTGATGTTTACATCCATCGAGAATTGCCTTGCTCCAGTAGTGTAGCTTAGAGTCCCAGTGTTTGGGGTTTACTTCTCTACTCTCAGGAAAGGCCGAAAACATAAAGTTCATTCGATCATCGTCAGCCCAGTCCGTTGGCAAAAACTGCTTTTCCGCCATTTTTGATGCCAAGACTGTTTGCTGCTTTGTATATGGCAACTGTAATGACCTTCAATAAAATTCGATGGTGTTAATTCCTCTCCTCCTCTCCCCTATCCCCTAAGGAAGGCCAAACCCTAGGATTAGAAGTCAAAATACAGAAAGCATACTCATTCCTATTTTTTTCTTATTAGAAATCTAACCATGTGTTTGTCTTTTGTATTTCCAATTCCTTCCATGATAGCCTCGAGGTTATTTCGCCCTAGCCTGTGCACAGACGTCCCCCGGACGTCTGTACACAGGCTATTTCGCCCCTCCACTCCCCTCTTTTGCTTTAAAACATGTTTAGTGTAACGCCTGGAAGATTTCAACATTTCGACGCCGGCGGCAACAGGTTCTCATGGTTATGCACCGGTTCTTTCAAGTATTCAGCGGTGGATATTCCTCTGTTCCTTTTTCAAGAGTTTTAATGGTTGAAAGATATAGCCATTCCATTCGTGGAGTCTTTCGGTAAATGTTTTCAAGAATGGTTAGGACAATTTTTCTGCGAATCCCAATTAGCAAACAAAAATGTATTTTCTTAATCATTGCTGCAATCTGTCTTCTCGGTTACTTGGCTCTAAAAAGGACAAAACAGGGCCTTAAACCTCTAAAACCTCTTGCTGATGTTGGAAGATCTAAACATGTGGCTGGTAATAAGTTGAGTAAAAACAAGGCTACTGGGCCAAGCATGACAATGGACGAGAAAGACTTTCTACTTGATGGAAAGCTAGTTGGCAGATCTAAACATGTGGCTGGTAATAAGTTGAGCAAAAACAAGGCTACTGGGCCAAGCATGACAATGGACGAGAAAGACTTTCTACTCGATGGAAAGCCAGTTCGAATACTAAGTGGAGCTATTCACTATTTCCGAGTTGTTCCAGAATATTGGAGAGACAGATTGCTGAAACTCAAAGCGATGGGGCTGAATACTGTTGAAACGTGAGTAAAGCTCAGTTTTGGGCCCGGGAAACTATATTAACAATTGAGTTTAGAAGGCCTAGGATTATCTTACGCTTTGGCTATATGGCCGGTAACCGGTCAAGGTTTTCAAAACACTAAATGACCGGCAGTCCTATATTCTCAGTAAATTTATACAAAATCGAAAAATTCAGCGATCCTGAAATGCTTTATAGATCTCAAGTATATATGTTGTAGTTATTTTTTTTTATCTCAGGTAATTTTTGTTTTTCTTTTGTTTTTGAGTATGGTAATGTATGCTAATGAAGTTCAAACAAAAGAAAAATAAAAATTACCTGAGATAAAAAATTAACTACAAAATATACATGTAGTGCCAGTTATTTAAAAATAATGTAGTTTAGCCAGTGTTTAACAAAACCGCCTTCTAAGCCATTTTTTATTTGCCCAACAGTTTTATCTGAACACCATTTTTTATTGTGAACTGCTTTATGAAAGCATACAGAGTAGACAAGAAAAGTATTTATCTTCTTAAAATAACCCACTAAGAAAGAGATCTTGAGGTCCAAAGATTTGTTAAACTGCGGCTTAAGTTAGACTTTGTTTAAATAATCGACCCATAGTGTTTGGTTTACGCTGGGCTCCGAAGACAAAATCATGTATTGTGACACTTCAAACTTTTTTCAGCTCGATTGCCGGTCAAGGTGTTGAAAACACTAAATGACCGGCAGTCCAATATTCTCAGTACATTTCGCTTGACTTGTAATTGCAGAACTTTGTTATCAGTTTCTCGGCAGTGAAAATGAATTATGAGCAAAGACAATCATGTTTCCAATAGAATATGGAAATAGATTGAGCCCCTAAAGTTGCAGTTACTAAGTCCCTGCAGGGAGCAAAATATGCCTAAGTCCCTCCAACCACTCCACCCCCCTTCCATTTTCAAAAAGGAAAACAGGTTAACATTTCAATAGCCAACTAAGCAGTAAAGCTGCTTATGTGATTGAAATTAAGTGAGTGTCTGAGTAAATTAAACTGATGTGAGTTGAAGGGTACTCAATAGGATTTGAAGTAGGCATCTGCCCAACCTTAAGTAGGTGGCTGTGACAAACAAAGGGCCCGTAAACTAGGGCGCGGAAAAGCAGCAAATAGAATGCAAAGTAAGCGGCTACAAATTCCAAAGAAGGCAGCAATCAATCGCTGGGTACTGGCTCTCATTGAGAACCCTGGACTTGACATTGATGTTGCTACATTGGTTTAGTTTCATTGTAAGTCATATATGGAAGAGGGGTGGGAGGGAATGACATGCTTTGCACATTTCTAGGTGTTAGTGACCAGACAATGTTGGTTTGACCCAAAACTCTCCGTTTATATGGTCCTAAGCCTAAGTTGCATAATATTATTACGGATTATTAAATAATGTGGAGACTGGTAAATTATTATTATTGTTCATTCAGAATATTTCCCCGCTTCTGATTGGCTATAAGTGCACGTTTAATTCACCATAACCAGTTACTGATGACCAAATTTGGAAGAATTTTGAGTTTAACGGGGAAATGACATCAAAAATGCAGCGTTTTCGCAGGTTAAGGCGCCGTTAACCGAGAAGACCTGGGGACGAGGTTGAGTTGAAATTGAAAAATGGCAGACATTTCACTTGTTTCAAGTAAGAACTAGGTGAAAAAATAGCTAAAAACATGGCAAGAACAGCAGGAAGACAACTCGAAGGGCAACATCTGCCATTTGGAGAATATTTGCAGAGCTGGACAAACCTAAACGCGCACTATTGAAGATGAACTTAACATTGATGGATCGATGGAGGTAAGCATGTGTTAGCCATGTTTTTAAACTAGAAATTATTGTGAATGAATAATAAAACAATTATCTAATTTGGCTTTCGTATCATATGAAGAATTATGGAGATCTCGGAGGGTGTTATCCGCCTCAGCCTACGGCCTCGACTGATAACACCCATCTCGATCTCCATAATTCTTCATAATCAGCCTCATTCATTAATTGTTAATTAATAAATAATGCCTGTTAAATTTGAGCCAGTAAGGTGCAAAATGCAACAAGAAGAGTAGGAAATGTAATGATGCTTGGGAACATTGTGTTGTTCTCTTCTACCTTTTTTAGGCAACTGAGTGACAGGGATTGAAATTTGTTGACTAGAGTGCCGTACAGCTCAGAGATAAGCAACCAACGCACATGCAAATCACAGGGCTGTCAAAATGTTTTTATTAAGTAGCAGGCTGATAATGAATGGTAGACGGCTCTGGAACTCACACCAAAGGCACAAGTTCTTGGGGGCCAAGGCATCTAGGGACGATTTGAAAATTAGAGTCTCGGTAATGGCGTTTCCAAGGGTTTCAAAAGGTGTTTCCAACCACTTATGCCATGTTGTTTGATTAGAATACACGCAAGCCTGGGAACAATGCCGTCAACAAGTCCCTGGCGTTCCAAGACATCGCACAGCTCAAACATTTCACAGGTCTAAACCTGTTAGAACGTGCATTCAATGTCATTCAAAACCGGGAAATAGATGCTTTACAATTTTATTCGATGATGCTTGATTATTTTTTGTCAGCAGTTATGGTTCTAGAAGGAGATGAAAGTAGCCGGCTAAGGATGGCTAACTAGCCGGCGGTTTTGGCCGACTACTGGCCCTTATTGACAGCCCCTTACACAACTGTTCGAAAGCTAGTTTTTAAAACTAATTTAACTTGTCCACAATAGTCGACCTTTACTGCGTCCAATCCTGCAGACATTGCTTAAGCTTTTGTTGAAGTTGTTATAACAACAATTCACCAGAAACAATACGTTAGCTCATACACACTAATCATTTCTACAGCAAAACCATTTTTGAAGTGCATTAATAGATTTCTTGCTAGTTAATGCTTTTGAAGTGGGTTAATGTGGACGCTTACCTCTTAGCTGTACTAATGGTGTTTTTAAGTTGTTTAAAGTCAATTCAATTGCCTTGCAGGTATGTTGCGTGGAACTTGCATGAAGAAATTAAAGGGCAGTTCAATTTTGATGGTATCCTTGATTTAGGGTAAGAATCAAGTGACTTCATGCTTAAAAAAGACTCTTACTAGTCTTGCTTGCATATGCAGCGAGACTCATAATCTGCAAGCCATGTTATTTTCTTCGTATTTGGTACACAAAACAACGGCTGTGGCCGAGAGCAGCATTCGTAGCAGAGACAGTGGAAACTGGGAATAAGAATCATTGCATGACCAAAGCCATGAATGTTTTGCAAAGAAAGCTTAGGTTTAGAACTTTTCTGGAACAGGTCCGTCCACAAATTCTATTGCTTGAAAGTGTTGATTACTTTGGAACAAGTGAACACTTTGGTGGTTGAAAAAAAAAGAAGAATCTTAATTTTAGCAAAAGACTAACTGGTCAGGTGTCGTAAACTTTCATCGTATGCAAATTATATGAGTCTTGTGATGAATATGTGGTTTATTTTCGGCACGGTGACGATTGAAATGATGTTCCTGTAAATCACTTTTTTGATCTCTGGCAATGATGTAATTTCTCTGGAATCACAGCCCTTGGATTTTTGTGTAGTGATACACGTGTATAGCCTGTGACCGCAGACGTATTTCCTGTCGTTGCTAACACGCATACTAAATCAATTCAGAAACAAATAAAAAGTAAATATCCAGAAGTAGGTGTAGTGTCACGGAAACTGTCTAGGCAATTAGTTGCTCATTATGCATGTTATAACTGGTAGTAGGTGTTGTTAGGTGTTTTGAATATTTAAATATTACGTATTTAAGGAGTGGAAAATTATTCATGAAAGGTTGTTAATTGTGAGGTCGTAACTGGCGTACCCAGTACGTAGTCGGGAGTGTAAAACCTTCAGCGACTAAATCCTGTTTCGTGTAGAATTAATTGCCTCCTCATTTCTTGATCTAATCTCCAAACAAGCGAGACTAAACGCCTCAGTAAGAGCATTCTTGGTAATAGCTAGGATTGAGTGGAGTCCAATTTGGGTTGTAATCATGTTACTATCACAAAATTCTCGATCTGATTGGCTATCAGCTGTCCTGACTGCCTGACTTTCTTTCACTTCCAGCAAAAAAACTCTTGTGAGATCTTGTGTTTTTTTAATTTTGTATTCACTTATTGCTGTTCTTTATTTTTAATTAGGGCTTTTATCAAGTTAGCCCAGGAGCTGAATTTGTATGTTATCGTTAGACCAGGACCATACATTTGTTCAGAGTGGGATTTTGGTGGACTACCAAGGTGATCAATATTATTAAATGCAGTTATATGTAGTAACAATAAAAAATACCTGTATATAATGAAAAAAAGAGGATAGAAGTAGCACAGTCTCTCCTTGGTTGGTACCCTGATTAGACAAATGCCTAAGGAGGGGGTGGGGTGGGGTGTTGGGGCAGGGAGAAGTGTCCTAGCTTCCTCTTTTTATCTCCCTCTGCTTTCTCTTTCTTCATGCATAATCATAAGTGATACCTGTTTGAGTCCAAATAAGACCATTCTGTCCAGAACACCCCAAATGATACCAAATCTGAGATTTACACCCATCAATGTGGAAGTGTCCCCCCTCAGGAACATATATAGTGCCCTGACAGTAACTTGCAAAGTGACTGAATATAAGCAAGTTATTAGTGGAACAGAAGGTTAACAGAGTTTTATTTAATACACACATTACACAGTGTATATTATTTTGCCCGTAAGTCAGTTGTTTTTAGGACAAAAGGCTTAAAAGCAGCAAATTATAGACCTCATGCACATAAATTTGCCAAAGGGCGAAAAAAAAAAAAACTTGTCACAGAGCAACTGCCAGTGTAAGTCACTAACTAAGTTCTTATGTAGCCAGTCACAATACAGATTGTATTGTGTGAGTGATATCACCATGACAGGTCACTAGGCTGAACAAAGGTCAATAAAGATTAATCCTCAAAAACTGCACAAGCGTACCTTAATATTTCCACTTTGGTGATGACTAAGAACTTACTCTTAGATCATTATTACATGCAGACAATTTTCTAGCGAATACTTATTCCACATATTTTTTTTTTCCCTGAAGTTGGTTGTTACACGATCCTCAAATGGAACCAAGATCAATGTACCATCCATTTATTGAGGCTACTGACCGGTATTTCAATAGGCTTCTGCCAATCCTTGTTCCTTTACAGGTACTGATATATGACTTATGATTAAGCGTACTGTGATCCCCATACACTTTTACACACTTTACCCTCTAATGCATCGTTATGCATGTTTGTAAAATTTCAAATTATTTTATCATTCTTGAGATCATCATTGTCAATGACATGCATATCCTCGCATTCCTTTTGTATCCCTATTATTTAAGAAGTGAGAAGGGGGGGGGAGGGGGAAGGAGCGCTTATTCAATAGGGGTACTTGTTTGATATTATGACTAAGGGAGTGGGCTCTTATTCAGGGGAGGGCAGTTGTTAGAGTGTGGGCACTTAGTCAAAGAAATTTATATGGTTTTTACTTTTTTATGAACTATACATTGTTTATATTTACAGTATTAGCTTAAGTCTGTCTCCAGTTAATTAGCAGTTCTTTTGACTAGCTAGTAGCTCAAAGACTTGATAAAGTTATCATCATCATCACCAAACTTATCAAAACTTGGTGTCAAGTTTGTGACTAAAGAACAGGTATTAGCTTAGTTGTAGTTAGGTTTTTATTTTGTTTAGGGTAGTTAGGTTATTTATGATTTTTATACTCCTGATAAATTTTACCATTCCATTCTATCCTATTCGAGAAACTTTTAGAAAATAATGCGCTCTAATTTGCTACAAAATTTTGGGATAATTGCATTTTATCTCTTAAAGTTACATGTACATTGGTGGATCTGAATAATTTTGAATTTTTGCCATTTTTTACAAATAATTACTTAACCTTTAAACCCTAAGATCAAAATGTGAATTCTCCTTTGTCACCTCTATTCATTTCCTACAGAAGTAGTGGGGAGAAGTTGATAAAATATCTAGCAAATTCATCTTGTGTGATCATGTCCATAATTCTCATGACCACTCTGTTTTACAAAGCATTGCTGTTACAAGGAGAAATTTGATGCTGATCACTCTTAGGGTTTAAAGGGTTAAAAGGGAATGCATAGAGAATTGGACATATAAAGGAGATTAGCCCTTAACCACTTATGTGCTGGATATTGAGGTAAAACGGTTTGTCTTTAGAGCTAGTACCCCTCCACTAAGGTGAAAATGTTTCTGATGGTTTTGTGGGGTGGAATGTAAAACTTTATAGATAGTGTTTTACAAAACTTGATGATACAGCTATTTCGAGAAAGGGTTGTTGGAAAAATGTGTACATGACAATCCCAAAAGGTAATATAGGATATGATCAATATACTATTCCTAATGACTGTGGCTTGCAAACCTACTTTTGTTGCTTTTCTTTGGCATTCGCAAACGTATGTCCGTGGACTCCCAATGACCCATGCCATTCCTTCACATTTCTTTGAAGAACGGTGCATTTAAAAACCACCCACAATTGTCACATGTACTTTTTCCGACTACCTTTCTCGAAACAGCTGTATAGGGACTTTGCTGACTCTCTGTTCTCCTTAATTAGTACTCTAAAGGTGGTCCGATAATAGCATTTCAAATTGAGAACGAGTACGGAAGCCACTACACTGATGATGTCAACTACCTGAATCATCTAAAATGGGTTAGTATTTTCTTTGAAGTGTCCATAGGGCCATGAAGGGTAGTTTGGGCAGGTATTGTAATTGATAAGGAGTTGGGGTAAGTTCGTGCTCAAGCCAGGCCCTCAAAGCTGTCCGTGTGCTCAGGGACAGTCTGATGACATCAGTAAAAACTTAACCCTTTAAGGCCCAGTATCCACATACAAATTCTCCAAACTGATCTCTATTCATTTCCTGAAAGAATGAGAATTTGATAATAGATCAAGGCATTTTCTCTTGTGTGATCATTTTATTAATTCTCTTAACTTATCTCTTGAAAGTGTATGGATATTGTTTGGAGAAATTTGATCTTGGTCACTATTGGGACTTCAAGGGTTAAAAGGGACCTAAGGCAGCTTTAATGGTTGATTTAGGCCCCATTTATATGGAGAAACACCATCCCAGCCATGTTAACTTAAATGAGCGTTGATATGAGAAAAAAGTTGTCCTTTTTGCCCAAGCAAACAGCTCTTATGCAAGCTCTGTGCATGTGATCTGTCTTGTCTAAAACAGCGCTCGCATATGCTCTGATTGTCACACCTTGACTGAGTTGTCCTGGCTGGGCAAGCTGGCTGGAGAAATTTTGGGCCAGCTAGCAGGGTGACCCTACCATCACAAAAGAGTGACCTGGCTGGGCAGGTCACCCTTCTAGCTGAGCCAGCTTCTTGTTTCTCATGTACATGGTTCACCTCGTTTTGTAATAAAATGTATGAAATGTTGGCTTGCCCAGGGTAGAGCCAGTAGGTGGGTAGATGCACACAGTCAGAACCGTCTCTAACTGTTACAGAGAAAGGTGTCTGTCTTATAGGGAGGTTATAGTTACAGTTAAATGACTGGCACCAAAGGGACAAAGAACAGGGGTCTTTGAAGAGAAAGTGTTTGTATTGTGTGTTATTCAGTTTTATTCGCTCAGGAAAGTCGCATGAGGGGACAAAAAAATATATGGCAAGCAGAGAGATAACTGACTTAATTCCCACCTCTCTCCTGTTCTTCTATCAGTCTGTTCGCTCTCTTGAGTAGATCATCAGTCCTGCCAAGCCCTGACTCAACTGACTAAAAAGAGGCTGCTCGCTTTGCCCTCCACTATTCAACATATTTCCGTGGGTTAAATTAACCTCGATACTACTACATGAGAAATTTCTGCAATTTGATTGGCTTAGAGCAGTGGTATTTCAGCTTAATTTGAAATACCTGCATGTGAAAATTACAAACCTTGTGTGGGTATTAGTATAAACAGATAATAGCATGATGTGCACGTGATATTTGGCATAAATACCACTCGTCATATTTCAAAATTGTCGCAAATTTCACTCGCCTAACGGCTCGTGAAATTTCGTATAACAATTTCGAAATATCGCTCGTGGTATTTATGTCAAATATCACTGCAAATCATGCCTATACAAATTTCCGAACTTCGTTTAAAGAAGGAATATCTAAAACTTTGAGGACCTTTCTTAGGGAACTCTCTTCTCCTGAAATGAAGCTATGATGCAGGCAGAGTCTGTTATGTGCTTAAACACTTCAACCACCCAGAGGGACGGGACTCAATGTTCTGGACAGTTAACTATGCTTTTTTGTGGGCTCATATATTATTTTTTTACAAAGTCATACATCATTGTGTTGTCTCTGAGCTATCTGTACTTATTTGTTAGTGCTTAATATATGTCTATACCTGAAACGGCCACGTTGTAATTTGGAAAAGTCTGTGATAATTGTAAGCCTGTGTCATGAGAGGCTCTAAACTTACTGTCATATCTCGCAATTTCTGTTTCTCGTTTTTAAAACAGCTTATGATAGATGGAGGCATAACGGAACTTCTGTTTACATCGGACAATTCTGGTGGATTACAAAAATGGTTTTTGTCTTTACCTAATGGTAGGTCATCCATACTGAACGTTATTTCTTTCTCGTGATTTTTTTTAAGTAAGCTTAATACATGTAAGTGATACAAGTAACTTTTTTCATCTCGATTTCAGTGCTGAAAACAGTCAACTTTGGAAATGGTGCAGAGTTGAAGCTGAATAAGTTAGTTACAGAGTTTCAGGTATTGGAGTTAAAAATTTTGGGAAAAACTAATTCGTTTTTTTAATCACACGGTGTAGGCCTTTACTGTTGTTCCTTTTAAAGGGAATTGCGCATCATTTCAATCTTGTTTTTGACCGCGAAAAATTTCGCTGCCAAATTGGCCAAGTTCAAGTTCATTTTATTTCACACTATTTACATTGTAAGATCACAGATATAAATTAAAGCAATAACGGAATCTCTTCAATAGCTAATTAAATAACATATAGCAGAGCTAACACTACCTTTTTACTGAATGTGTGTGGAGGCCAAAGTAGCATCTGCTTTCGAGTTGGCCACCACCTACTTTAGAATAAACAAAAACACACTGAGCTTCATAAACATGGAATCTACTAAGACAGTGAATGCGCTGTTTTCGTAAGACATGGCTCACAAAACAGACAGTTGCGTCGCTCTTACACGCCTGCCATTTTCAGTCGAGAAGTTGATCTGTTTGCTTGAGTTTTTATAGGTCATAATGTAAGGACAAATGTGAATGAAAAGAGGTTTCTTCTCTCGGGCGTGGGAAGTTGGAATACCCTTCCTGCGTCTATCGTTTGCTTGTGTTCAGATCGAAAATATCCAGGCTTTTAAGAAATGACTAAATACACATCGATCAATGGCAATTTTTATGAGAAGCTGTAGATCCTGATAGTCTTTCTCAACTTAGGTCATGTTATTCACCTTGGTGGGAAAAATAGCTAGGAAAAGAAGACCATTTGTCTCCAACGAAATTGTTTACGGTCACTAAAAATAACTCTGGACGATCAATGGTCCATCTCGTTTAATTCGTTCTTTGTAAAGGACTGTATCAAAATGGAAAAATAAAGTTGTTATCTTTTTGTCCTCGACAAAATGATAAGGACCTTCAATGGTTCAACGGGAAGAAATGTCCAACAAATCGTTGCAGGGAAAATAGTTAGGAGAAGTAAACATATTGCTTTGTTGACCAAGAAGTCGTCGTCATTATTGAAAAGGGACGTATGTGACGCTTTTGAAAAGTCAATAACAGAAGTTTGAAAGCTAACACGAAACAGAGCATGTTTCCGATTTGCGGTCAAAGATGAGACGTCCAGTAGGATAAGCAGTTAGATTGATCATTAAGATAATAACACTTCTTTCTGTTATTCTGTTGTTTGGAAGCCAGGTAAACCAGCAATGGTTGCCGAATTCTGGGATGGTTGGTTTGATCATTGGGGTGAGGAGCACCACACCCGAGAAACTGAAAGAGTGGCCTCCAACATGGAGGAGATACTCGAGTTTGGAGCTTCTGTTAATCTCTACATGTTTCACGGTTTGTGCTAAAAGATTTTATAGTTAAGCCAACGCCCATATGTACTTAAATGAACTGATTATTTGAAAATTGAATCCGTCATTCGTTGCTGCTGCTCTTATCAAATTCTGTAATTCCTGCATTTTTAGACAACAACTTTTCTGTATCCTGTCAGGTTTCGATGACTGTCTTATTTTTGCCTTGAACCACATCGCGAAAAACTGTCTTTCCAGTGCCAGAAAAGCTCGTACAAAATTTCCATTTAATCATACTCTGAAACGAATGACACGTGCCAATTTTAGGGCAAATGTCAAAGGAAAATTTAGAATCTCGTTCAGTGTGAAACCAGAGAATTTCTAGTTTTCTCCTCTCGCCTCCCTAAAGGACGTCTTTGTGCTAGACTATGAAGTCCGCAGAGGCTGGGGAGACAGAGGAGAAGCACGCAAGGAATAATAGGAGGTAGCTTCCCTCGCTGACGGTTTTAGGGGTCACGCTTTCGGACGTTCGTTGTGGAGGATTGCATGACGAACCAAAAGAGTGTTAGACTACGAGTAGTCCCCATTTTTCTGCGTGGGAGGCTAAATAGGAAGGAAAGCAGTGGATACGGTGCCTGGCGCTTGCGAATGATTTTTTAGCAGGCGGTGGATCCTGTTTTTGAGTAAGTGGCTGTGAACTGCTGATAAATTAAACGCGAATAAATTCAGTTTGTTAGGGACTGAAGGGAAAGTGGTAGAAACATGGGGCCTTTGTATTAGGTTAGAATGTATTATCGAAAGGTTGAGAAATTATTTTTCTAACATGGCGTCTCTTGTTGTTTTTCAGGGGGAACAAACTTTGGGTTCATGAATGGAGCCAACGCTCTCCAGCCAACGACCACCTCTTATGGTACTATACAATATAAAACAATATAATTAACAATTGGGTTTTCTTCTGTAGTAACATCAACACTGGTAAGGTCGAGATAGTCGAGATAACTCCGAAATGTCCGACTATTTTGTCTTCTAGATCTCTGACCTCTGTAGATTTTAGTAAGTATTACCTATTCGATCTTTGGACTTTGAATAGCCTGTATTCCTCCACAATGCTAAGGAGGTCGTTGAATATTTGTAATGTAATGTTATGTAATGTTGTGGATTAGAGGACAACAAGACGCGCCCTCTTTACATTATACAGTAAAATTCCGAAAATAAGCCCCGGGGCTTATGTTTTTCAAAGGCCCTTTTGGAGGGGCGGAGGGGCTTATGTACGGAGGGAAATTTGCGTTTCAAAGTCGATTTGGTCAGCCTTATTCTTGGAAGGAAATTTACCGTTTTTCTTTGTTTGCTTTGTATTTGAGGGCAATTTCCAAGTACAAGCACCAGGGGGGTGGGGGGAGGGGGGCTTGTATTTGGAGGGGCGATTTAACGGAGGGTTTTTGCGTTACGAGTTTGGGGGGCTTCTCTTTGGGGGGGCTCATACATGGAGGGGCTTATTTTCGTAATTTTACGGTATTTTTACATGTTAACAGTAAGCTCGGACTTCAGCATCCAAGAGTGCCACTGGCAGCCACTATCGGTCCATTTATGAACTTACTGTAGCCCACCCATAACCCATGATATGAATGATGTGTGATGCGTTAAAGGTAGACCACACCACCGCGGATACTTCCCCACAGTTACCTCCCCTTCGATTTGACTGTTGAAAGAAGGATGACAAAGACAAGGCCAACGGCTTATGTCACCACCCACTGACGAGATCATCTAAACGAGACAAGGTTTCAAATCACAGTCAGCATGATCTCACCAGTTTTTTTAAAGACCCTGGTTGTTGGTCTGGCAGGGGCTTGAATCCATGACCTTCCGTTCGGCAAACCGGTGCCCTCCTAACTGAGCTAACCGGGCAGCGTTAATTGTCGTTGTCATTTTTATGATGACCACAGCTGTATATTGAACTAATAATTTCAGATTATGACGCGCCTTTGTCTGAAGCTGGAGATATTACACCAAAGTATAAAGCCCTGAGAAACGTCCTAAGACAGTATGATCCAAATCATTCCTGTAAGTGTCCAGTAACCTTTATGTCTCTGTTAATTGCGGTTTCTCCCATTTAACAATTGATAGGCGACGTTCAAAAAAGTATCAGTCAGTTTCTCCAATTGTTGGTTTCTGCAGAAAGTTAACTTTTCTAATGGTTCACAAGAAAGAAAAACTGATGTGTAGTATTGTGCCATATTTTGTAACTTGCAGTCTGTTTGTCTCTCGAAATGATCCACTATTTCCCATAAACTCACAGGAAAAGGTGGTGATGGGCCCAATCCCTTTTCTTTCATAACAACTAGCATTTGCAAAAGCTCTCACTTGGGCAAATAACTCGACAGTATTTCGAAGAAAAAAAGATGATTGCCAACAGACTACATAGAACATGATTCCCTTAAGTATAATTTCAAATTACGTATTTTTATGAAGACCACTTCCATCGAGTACATGCATGTTTCCTTTTTCAAGAAATTCGTTGGTTACGTTTTATTCGTGAGACCTCTATTTTTCGTACAAAGGAATGTTTTTAGTCGGTGAACGTAAACAGAACAGTTGCCCTGACGGCAATTAGGTTTACCCAGTCTTAAAATCACTTTGATCTACACGAGTTACAAGGTAATGCGAATAACCCCACGTGACATACCAATCATAGCCAGGCGTAGTAAGGTTAACTGGGTACACCTGGTGACCCTTGTCTTATAGACTGTAAGAATAAGATAGCTCTCAGCGTCTGACTGTTATTTGACCGGCTAAGTAGCCCTGTTTATAATAAACTAACCAGGCTACAAAGTGAGTGGAAGGAGCACATTTTACCTTATTAGCCTGGCTCACTTTTATTTACAAAAACACACCTCCTAATGGTCAAGAATATTGTCTCTGAGCAATAACGTTCATCCCAGGTGCTCTTTAGAAAATACAAATAATAATATAAAGACTTCACCACAACTTTTTATTCTCGTCGTAGGTGGTAAAATTGTCCACCGACGCTTTGATGGTTGAAAATCCTGACAAAACACCCCACCTCGTGTCCGCCTCAATCATACGCATTGATACAATAACATTTTTCCCTTGACAGTTCCTGATCACATTCCAGCTGTTCCTAAAAACTCTCCTAAAAAGGCTTATGGTAAGAGTCCTAATACAGAGACAGTATTTCGAGTCTAACGATTTGTAGTAATTTGCCTACCACGAGTATATTACCAAACCAGTTAACAGTCCAGGTCAGACCGTTTTGAAATCCTGACAATTCATCACGTACAAATTGACTATTTTTGCGAAGAAGTACCCCAAAGAGATTTTTGTTTAAGACCACTGGGTATTTCAAATCGAGGCTGAAATAAATTGCTAAAGCCTGTCAAATTGAAATTTTTGGTATATATTTATGTGAATTGTTGTGAATTGTATACCTGAAATGTACAGAAATATTGTAGTTAATTGGTATAAGGTAGCGGGCCTATTCGTTTTAAAGCTGGTGTGTGTTAACCCCGGTGAAAAATGTTTTTTCCTCCTTTATGTTGCTCCCGAAGCGTTAAAATGATCGTGATTGAGTACGCTGAAGACCGCCGAAGTCAAATATCAATTCGATGTGGAATACCAGAATTCCGTGGGGTAAAAACAGTGGTACATTCCATGTGAATTGTCTGTAGCTTTTTTCTTTGTAGTCCCCTTGCCTTGCGTTACATGGTTTCTGTCTATTAACGTGCTAAAATGAGTATTCACCATTTGACTTGAATCCCATCCGAAGAAGTGTATTATTGCCTCCAGATACTTCACTCTCCGAAAAAATAATACTACACAACGTCTGTTTGGGTGCCCTGTGTCTTGTGTACATTTTTTTTGAAACTTAAAACTACCTTTGAATCTTTAGTGATCGTATTAGCCGATTAACGTGATAAAACAATTGATGGGCAGATTGTGGTTGTTGTAAACCAGACAGTGGATACTTGGAACGCTCAAACGACTACGTTGTTAACAGTGGTCGCTTCTCAATGTACTGCTTTTGTATGAGGTTTCACTAAACTGATCTTTGGTGATCTTTTTCAGGAAAAGTCGAAGTAAAGGAACGCATGCCACTCAGTGAACTCCTTCGACTTCACGTACGTAAATTGCAGTCTTTCCGAGCTACTGTAATAGGTCTGTAAGGTTTATATCAAACGCGTGAAGGATGTTTTTAACAATTATTCCTCGAGCCCGAATGGGCTCTGAGTCAATAGAGGCGAATGGGCTATTGACTCAGAGGCTATGAGGGCGAGAGGAATAATTGTTTTTGTAAAATCCAACTAGTTGGTCAAAAATATCGAGAATAAAAATTTTTAGCTAGTTGAAGCTAGACGTTAATCCTTTTTTGGCGCCAAAAAGCCGGCGCTTTTCGTTGCTAGGGGGCTATAACATATAGCCTAGTAGTAGCTCAACCAATCAGAACGCAGCATTGATAATAGACCACTAGTTGGGTTTTACTAACATCTGATATGCAGCTCCCGAAAAGCAGATCGAAAAAAAACAACCGCCAAATGCTTCGATATCAAACGAACCTTTCTTTGCCATACTTTTTTGAGGAGAAAAATTTGATTTAACTTAAGCCTCCTTACAGTGTATAATAGAGCTAACCAGCCTAGTCCCTAGGCGTTCTCGGCGCGGTCAATCCTGGACTCTACCGTGAGCTGTGACGTCACCGAGAGATACTCGAAGTTCTCTCGCCCGCTCTTTCCCAGACTTCGCGCGGACAACGGGTCAAGAGAGAACGCCTAGGGACTAGGCTGAGAGCTAACGAAGTGCAAAGATCAACGATTAACATATCATCCTTATATCGCTCTCAGACGCCTATTAAAAGTGATAAGGTAATGCCCATGGAACGACTACCGATTAACAATGGTGGTGGACAAGGGTACGGCTTTATCCTTTACCAGACAATCTTACAGAAGTTTCCAAAGGAAATTGTCATGGAAGACGTCTTGGACAGAGCACAGGTAGGGACTTCTTATCTTCGACAGGACATATATAAGTGTTAAACCGTTTTAGCTTAAACTCTGTGCCCCAAAACATTGCAAATGTCACACCTTTCAAAATATTACTCCGCCTGTTTCCTAGTCGTATAGCCACGAGGTTTGCAGTTCCCATACGCAAATCCGTAGGTGTTTTGTGTTCAATGTAAAATTCAGGTCGTTTTTAGGTATATATACAGGTACTATTAGTCTCTCTTATTCTCTTCTCCCTGATGAAGTGAGCGCTAGTCACACGAAACGGGTAGGAGACAATAAAACAATTTTACAACTCAAGACGTTCGCAAGTGCTGCTCACTGGTTTGCCCTTTTAAAAAAATAATGTACCTGTTGTACACTGCCAAAAGGGGAATTGCTGGCAATGGTCTAGCAGATGATTTTTATCTATGGTTAGAAATTGGCGTCCACCGATACACTGTTTTTCGCTGTAAAGAAAGTGAAATAAAAGTGAAAATTTAGTTGAACTTGCACCTCTTGACCTCGCCTACCATTTGAGTTGGGGTTGGTACTTCAATATTTCCGTTGGTTTAAACATCCCGTGAGCGACCGATTGACACATAGTGTGTTCTCTTACTGGTTGAAAATTGCACAATATAACGTCGCATAACCGCTTATAGGACAATAACTTATGTTACTTTATTACGGCATTTTGTCTTATATCCGATGTTTGCTGTATGTATACGCATCTCAGTGCACAAGAGGCGCTTTTACTGACAATAAGGCACTGTATTTCAACTCAGAATTTGTATGCAATGAATTCTCCTCAAACATATAGATCAGACCTGTTCCTAATAGAGTGTGACCTTAGATCCTTGTGTAAATTTCCTTTGACGTGCCCTAAAACGGAGCACTGATAGGGAGAGGGGGGGGGTTGGGGTAAAATGAGCGCACTGTCGGCCTCAGGTTTGTTAGTAAGAAATGACGTCTGAGAAGCGACGACGTGTCACTACCCAGATCTGGGTAGCACTTCTGATTGGTAGTACTGCGTGGGAAATTTACCCAGATCTGGGTACTTTCACGTTATCAGTGTGGAATTTTTGCAGTCGTTCCTCAGACGTCAGGGAACCAGTTGTGGCGTAGAGTGCCACTGTAGTCTGAGATCCTCTCGTAAGCGACCAACTTGTCCTGGCATTTTAGGAGGCCACGTATGGTCTGCAGGACTTTTCGTTTTACTGCTGGCAATCAAATTAATTGCTGGACCAAGGATTGACACAGTTGGTTAGTAATTGGCCATCTGTGGGAGAGGTCCCGATTTCATTCTCATGTGTGACCTCAAATCCGTGTTTCGACTTCTTTCCTTCCCATGTAGCTTTAAATAGAGAGAAGAGGAAGGGGGCGGAGGGCGGGTAAATTGAGTGAACTGTCAACCTCAGAGTTGTTAGTGAGATGATGACTTTTTCGAGCTACCTACGTAACAATGATAAGGCTACTTTTACTTTTTGTGTCAATGTTATCGGTCACTTACTACTTAATGCCTCTCTTATCTAGGTGTTGTTAGACTCTCTTTCCATTCATACGTATGATGCAAGTTTGGAGGAAGAGATGATTGTTGAGGTCCATGTGGACGAGAAGCTGGCGTCGGTGGTAAATACTCCTTGCAAGCTGGAGATTCTAGTTGAAAATATGGGTCGCACAAATATTGGATGGGATTTAAAGAAATTACGGAAAGGTGAACCCAGCATTGTGGTCAGAACAGTAGAATCCCGATTTCTGAAATTTCCCAATAATTTGAACAAAACTTCATTTCCTGTAGAGTTTTGACAAATCTGGTTTCCGGTGTGTGACTAAATATAGTTAAATTCCAATATCTCTGGATGTAAGTGGTATATTACGGATGATATTATCCTTTATTAGTTAGCTCAGAAAACAGATGACATTTCGCGACTCCAGCATTGGTTTCCCGCGAAATGAGGTCTAAGAAACGATGACGTGTCCCTACCCAGATCTGGGTAGTACTTCTTATTGGTCGTGCCGCGTAGGGAATTTACCCCAGGCTATCCATCTTTTTTCTTCATCGTATCCAACTCACATTTATTTTATTTTTTTACAATAAGGAATAAATGGCAAAGTGGAGATAGATGGCCAGAGTAATACGAATCACTTATGGAAGATTTTTTCACTGGATTTCAAGGAAGATATGTTAGCGAGGTAACCGGTGTATTCAAAATACTGGGTTATGAGTCCATTACCTTGCAGAGTGATGTCAACGTAATGTCGACCTTATCTTATGTATCGCAGAGAATCTTGTATCACACGACTTATCAAAAGAAGTCGGCATGGTCCAGTAGGTGTGGTGTATAGGTGCTGGATTTCAACGCAATCGGCTTGGGTACAATTCTTCGCTCTTGTCATTGGAACCGATCTGTCAACCTCTCTCCCACTTGCCTAGTCCCTAGGCCTCATTATTCCACGCGGCCAAAGCGTTTGAGTGACGTGGTCTAAGCGAAAATTTCCCGCCCGTTCGCCTTGGATGCGTCACCGAAGTGAATTGACCGAGAGGAACTGGGAAAACGCCGTACAGGGACTGGGCAAGTCTCCCACCAGCTGGGATTAAGGAGCTTTAGCAATGATGACGGCGTCGGCAACGACAACGTCAAAAGAAGCAATAGGTACATTTCTTTGCCGTTACTGCATGACTACGATGAAGGACGTAAACAAGCGACGACGAATTTTTTCCTCTATCTAAACTTGAATGCGGTCCCCAAGAAATCAACTCCAGGGAAATTCGCCTACATTTGAAATTTTCAGCGAGCTGGAATAAACGCGACAAAGTCTGATAAAACTCGAATTCATTTTTAAAGTGACGTTCCCCTGCCTTCGCCGTCGTCCATGCTAAAGCTCCCTGGTATAAACTCGCCGTTACTTTTAATTAAGCCTTTAAGAGGAGAGGATAATTATGGATTTGATAATCTTGCCGTATGAGGAAGTAGGGCTTATATCTTCCTTAATTCCAACAACGGTGGTGGTGCGAGAGGGAAAGCGGGCAGGGTGCTGGACAAAACAGTGATCGGGATCCAGTCCATGAACTGCCCCCATGAACTACCCACATGGACTACCCTAAAATGGACAAGCCACTGAAGTTTAGTGATTAGGGTTAGGAAACTGAAGGAATCAGGTTTCATTTAGGGTCATGTTACTGACAGGCTGACCTTAAACTTGATTCACTCAGTTTCCTAACCCTAATAACTAAACTTCAGCGGCTTGTCGATGTTAGGATAGTGCATATGGGTATATACGTAGTCCGTGAGGTAGTCCATGGACTGGGGGTCAGTGTTTTGTCCACCACCAAGCGGGCACACAGCACGCCTGGTGATTGACCCAACCTCGTGAAGGTAATCATGAAATAAAAGTCTCAATTTTTGGTGCCTGTTCAACAGAATAAAGAAACAAGGCCGCTGGAGTGCATTGTCAGATAAAGCAGAGAGAGGCCCAACTTTATATCGCACCACGTTCATAATAGATGATGACCCTAAAGACACTTTTCTGCGCATGAAGGGCTGGACCAAAGGTGTCTGCTTTATCAATGGGCATAACCTGGGAAGATATTGGAAAAGGGGCCCTCAGAAGACACTCTATGTACCAGCCCCATGGCTTCGGAAAGGCGAAAATGAGGTAGGTGTTATAAACCTCTGCTCTCAGCCATAAAATTATCGACATTCCCCCTAAAATATCTTGAGAAATTTGGAAACAATCGGTCTGTTTATGGATTTATTAAGCACATACCTTACTTGTTATTACGAAAGATCGCCTGTGCAAAAGTTGTAGCGAGAGCAAGATTTCTATCTTTTGCTCTGGTCCCAACTTTCTCGCCCAACTTGCGCGGAAACGCCTGCTATGCAGGCTATACGGGAGAACAGAACTACAGTTTTCTAATTGACATATTTTCTGTTGTGTTTCCCTCAGCTGATTATTTTTGAGCTTCATGAATTTCAAAGACCAAGAGTTTCATTTACAGCATCGCCTATCTTTGTTTGAGGAATAAGACGCCTGCAAGAATGAACCATTTACGTGTTACTGTTATTTGTAAAGGCTATCACCTACTGGTGAGCGTTTTGGGCTGACAACCCGGAGCTCGCTTCTCAAGACTGATCTCGATCAACGTATACTTTGTTGCCATTAGCCACGAGATTGTGGCGTCTTGATGTCGCAGTATATATAGAGGATATTACACGGTGGCGCGAAGATATGAATTTTATTTTCGAGTGGCAAAACAATATTTTACGAACGAGCGCAGCGAGTGAGTAAAATATTGTTTTTGCCACGAGAAAATAAAATTCATATCTTCAAGCCGCCGTGTAATGTTCTTTTTATTATATAGACAAAATGATATCGATAAAATAATAGAGGGAAATTACCAAAATTACGTCATTGATAAACTCACGTGTGAGATTATGGAAAATAAACCACTCGGGTCCCGGATGTAGTTTTTATGAAATTTACGAGTGGTTTATTTTCCGGTAAAACACTCGTGTCTATATAATAAATGTGGATAGGAATTTACTAGAATTTGCTCTAAGAAAAATTTCCTTCTCATTGAGCACGAATTGACAAAGTTGTAGGTATAGGTGTTTTTTTTCCGTGCTTCGCTTCCGTGCGAAGTTGTTGGAAAATTAGGATTGATTATACAAAGCTGGGAAGTGATAAAAGGTGCAAGTTACTAAATCAGGCCTTTTCTCAGAAAGTGTGAGATTGACTACCAACTTCCCTCACGTCGAAGTACTGATTAAGAACCCAGTGATAAGGAAATGGTTGAAGGTGGGTAAACCTTTCTCCGTGGAGGGTGAATTACCCAGATCTCACTCTGTCATACGATGAAAAGTGAGATCTCCCTTTCCTTCGGCCTTGTAAGTCCTGGGTACAAGAGTAGATGGTAAATTTGTAAGTCGAACTTAAACACATTTTTAACATTACTGTAATTTTTTTCTTTTAATTCATTCGGTAATTTAGTCCGATCTTTGTTATTTACACCAGTTAATACTATTATTTAACACCATAGGAGACCAGTCCTAACTTGAATAATTTTTATATAGGCACAATTTTTCAAGTAATTTATCTAACTGCAAGGTCAATTTGGCAGTATAAAATGGTGTCCATATACAATGCAGACCCGTGGGTATTTATATTACGTTTTTAAGATTCTAAGTGATGTTAGTTAAATCGAAATATGATTGATACTGTCATTTACGGTATCCATAGTGGTTATGGTCGTAAAACGGAAAAAACCGTTGTCTCATGAACAGGAAAAGTTAATATGCGTTACCAAGAAGGTTAAACAGAGTCATATGGACGTTGTTTGCCCCTCACAAATTCTAGCCTGCTAGCTGGTGGGATCAGATTGTGAGAGTGCTTATTGCGGCGAGGGTGTTGACTCACATCCATTCCTCTCGAGGCTTTTACAGTCATTTACTCCTCGAGTGGAAAGTGCCAGGGGCGTGCTTAACCTTGTCCCCAGGGTCTTCTCGTTTTCCAATATGGCTGCAGCGAAAAGACCCTAGGGACAAGGTTGGGGTGTGCTTTTATGGTCTTTGCAAACAGTCGCGAGCGTCAAGTCCCGTCAGCTGCCCAGGCCCCACAAATTCAAACTTGATGGGTTCGCGTTGCCACCTCTCAAAGAGCTTGGTACCACTGACTTACAAAAGACTGCATTTTATGGATCCGTTTTAAGATGCCAAAATTGTTGTTTTCCAGCAATTTCTGTACCTGATTACTCTTTATGGGGGAGGGGTGTCATTTACGAATGCTATGAACTCTCTAAAAAGGCCCGATTCTTAACCGCGCTTTCAGACATGTCAGCCAATCCCGCCGAGTGCCTTGTTGGGATTGCTGCCCTATTTGCCAAGGAATACCCGCCATGATTACCGGCCGGAATTTTGAAGTGTGCATGGTACTTTCATTCACTCTCCATCCCATTTTCTTACTTCCAGTTATTTGCTTTGAACTCCCGATAACTCGAACACCTTTTTCGATTTCTCTAGAAGGTTCGAGTTATCGAGAGTCGAGTCGACTGTAGTTTATCTGTGGGTTTCGCTGCAAAATGTTCATTGACGGATATCGCATTTATATAAGAGATACAATAACACACACTTGCCCAAATCCTTTTTCAAATTCTTTAGTCCTGAAAATTCGTTCAAATACAATTCCACAGCTTGAGTGAATTTCTAAATTCTTGATAATGTGAAAAAAAATCATTTTCCTTGTTGAACAAAACAAATTATTTTCAATTAACCTTGAAATTAGCAAACTCCATTAAATAAGAATATGTTATCTCCATTCAAATAGAAATGTTTCCTATCATCAAATGTAAACTTTCGTCTCAAAAAATTATGTACACAACATTTACAATATATTGTTAAAAACCAAAATAAAAATTATAAAACACAAAAAAATTGCCACGGTCATACTAGAACCCCAGATTTCTTTTTTGTTGATTCTTCAAGGGTGTGTTTGAAACAAGGGAACAGTCACACAGACACACAAGAAAAAGATTTTTCTATAAATGAAATTTTGACATGAGAATAAAATATAATAATACCGTATTTTCCTGGGAACTTCCTTAGTAATAAGAGAACTGCTTAACTTTTGGCAAACGAGAACCTTTCAAACGAAAATACCGAGAATTTGGGGAGCAAAAGTATGAAAAAGAAAAGACGGAACTAGCAGGATAAAATTTTCGAAAATTTGAGTTTGCCTAACCTTTCTTCATTTTATTCACTTCTCTAATATTTTGCAGTAAATGAAAAAGCCGTGAAAGAAACCGTTTCATTTGATACAAGGAACTTTTGGTATTTCAATCCAACATTTTGTCCAATACAGTAGCGTATCCAGACCTTCAGATATGGAGGGGGTGGGGGTGCAGTCTCAAAACAAAAATGGATCCGCTGCTGCAATAGCACCCGGATACGTTGATTACTAAGGGCTCTGTTACACGCTGGAACTTTCAGCAAGTATTGCACTGAAACAACATGGTCAATTTAGGTTTCCATATAAATTTGACTTCGGCCACGTAAAATGAACGGGACTTTCGCTGAACTAGCCCGGCATTCTACGCTACGTGACCAATCTGGGCATAACAACAAATGTTTCCGATTAAGATTCGTCTGTTATGTAATTCAGTGTAAAACTTGCGAATACTTTAATTTGCAGCGCCCCTTCAACTATGCGCGTTATAAGGCCATCACTTTGTTTTCCTCTGTTCTCTTTCATTATGCTCTCTTGTTATTTTCTCTGCGGCAGCTTTACGTAAATCCCTGATCCACTTCCTTGAAAAAGAACCTGGAATCTGGAACGAATGCTGTAGGAAAAAAAGCCCAGACTTTAATTATTATTCGTTCTCAATTCCTGAATGGCATTCTGCCACTTTCAGATATTTCCTTAAAGGCCGTTTTCTCACAGCTAGATTTCAGAAAATCGTCCGAGTGAGTGTAGTTGTTTTGACTGACAATAGGCAGTGGTGCCAAATCTTAACTTCACAAACCACTTCAGCTCTGACCATGACTTCCCGTCAGGTGGTCAAAACGTCTGTCAGGTCAGTCCCTGTTGCCAACAGTCTTATTCAGGACCACACTCACCCAGACGTCCGATTATATTCAACCTACTAATTGAAACAAAGGTTAGGCGAATTGGTAATTTGGCTTTTGTTTTTCAATCTACCCTTCACACATTTAAAAAGAGGCTTTTAATTAGCCAAGGCTTATAAACAAATGCCGGAGGGGATTACTGGGGGGACATGGGCGGTTTTGAAATTGACTGGTACATTACCTCCATGAAACTATGACAATCCATTGCTGAAGGTCCTTTGGTTATTTCCTGAGGTAAAGGAAGGAACAAGTAAAGAAGGCCAGTAAGCATACGTACCGTTAGATAATTTGCTAAAAAAAAAAAGACATACATAAACGCACAACCGCACTAAGGTGCACTGTTGAGGGAATATTGACACAGTGAAAAACTTACAGTGATGTACATGTAACCCAAATTAAATGCAATATTTATTTCATGTAGCTAACATCCGTAAATAGTTTTTGGGGAGCTTTTTCAATATTTCATTGTCAAAAGTAAAATTATAAACTTAGCAAGCGTAATACACTCGAGCTTTATCTTGTGGACACCTCTGTACCTCTGCTCTGAGGGTAGGGGAGGGGGTATACTGGGGGGTATGGAGTAGGGAGGTCCGAAGGATTAGAAAGCATAATACACTCGAACCTCTTCTTGCGGACGCCTGACCCCTGTACATCTGCTCGGGGGGTAGGGGAGAGGGTACTCGAGGGGGGCGGGCAGTATAGAGCAGGTTGGTGTGAAAAATTTTTTGGGTCTGAAATTCATGCACGAGTTCACAATTTTTGAGATAAGAACATTTGTTTAGTCAGCTTAGCATTTTTGGGGTTCAATTTTAGATTCTTTGGATTCTCTGGGTTTCGATTAGGTTCACGTTTTACTTTTTTTACTCCATTCGCACCACAATTATTACAGTTATTACCAAACTCCTTTAAGCAGGCAACTACAGTAGAACTCCAGAACCTTCTCACCACCTTGACCCACAATTACAAAGCGTTTGGTCTTCTTATCTTTATATGACCAGATTTTCATCAATTAACTAGCAAAGCAGTGATATTCCCCTTACAAACCTTCATAGCTGTGACAAGTTGTGCAAAGTCTTGACAGACCAGCAGCTCTTCTTTGTGAAGACTGAGTAATGTCAGAGAAACTCTCAGAATCACTTTGGATCCTTCGTAGAAAAGGCAGTCCCAGATGCGGAGAACTGTCTGCAATGTAATTAAGGCCGCTGTCATATTAGCCTCCCACGCAGACATTCTTAGGGGTTCGTCACACGTTCCTGCCCCACGAGCGTTGGGGAGGATTGCGTGACAATCCAAAAGAACCTCTGTGTGGGAGGGAGCCTACTGTTGTACAGATGGAGGTGTGTTGTCTTAGAGGATGCAGTGCAGGTTGAGATTACACCTCAGAGCACAAGCAATTGAGTTAGGTCATTTGTCCATGCAAGTGGCAGTTAGTGACAGGAGACAACAGTTCGATGCATGGAATGTTGGCTTTAGAAACCACATAGGACCATTTGATCTGGGCTTCCATTCACGTTGTAATAATGATTATTGCAACGTAAATGAAGGCTTAGATCAAAATCAACACAACAGCCCAGGACTTTATCATCACACTAGTCAAAATTGAAATTACTGGTTGCATGCACGCCCAGTTGGGGGTACTCCAGATTTCAAGTGACAGGAATGATCAAATGGGGGCAAAAATCACAACACCAAAAAATCCCTCGGGCTTCAAACAAAACTCCCCAAACATACCTGGACCAAAATCCAACCCCAAAGTCAAAAATTTCACACCCAAAAGACTTCTTCAATCATCCCTTTCACTTGAAACCTCGCCCCTCCCCCCCAATGCATGGTAATAACTCAAGTCACGCCCAGGGCCCCACTCCCAGTCGTACTTTGCAAGTTAGAGGACCCTTCTGTAAACTGTAAATCACAAGTTTTAGTGAGGTTGGCATCCTGAAAATTGATTACAGCCAACTCTCTCTCAATAGACACCTCTATAAAAGGGACACCTCATTAAAACAGAAGCCAGATTTGGTCCTTGCCTTTCTCTTAACTACTCCCTTTAGTGTACTCTCAAAAAAACAAATCTCTAGAGTTGATGTTCCCACCCTTTCTTTACTCCTTTCAGCTGACTCTCTATAAGACGAACACCTAGAGTTGGTCCCTGCCTTTCCTTACGCCTTTTAGTTGACTCTATAAATTCTCTCAAATGGATACACTAGTGCCACACCGCAAAAGTGTCCATCTTAGAGAGAGCTGAATGTGCTGTATCCTTCATTCAAGTCCAGGTGTGATATATACTGTACATCACCCATCAAGCTTGTCGGGAGAATTCACCTGGGATGCCTGGCAAAATATGGCTTGTCTGATAATATGGCAGCACTACTGGACTTACTGGACAAAAATGGCCAGCATACATGTATTTTGTTTCTAAACCAGTCCATACATGTTCAGACTGAATGTATTTAACAAATACATCTGAATATTTCATGACTTTCACAGAGAAAAAAAAATGCAGATTTTTGTTGACCAACATTATTAAGCACCTTTTCTCTATGACTTGCAACTTTTTTTGCCATTTTTTTGGAGACCTGACCAGTGCTATTATGCCCTGCACATTCCAAACCCCACTGCTCACTTGCATAGCATGGCATTGGTTTGGGACAAGAATGTGTTACTCTGTAAGCACCAAGGTTATATTATGCTCACCTCTATTGGCAGTACATCAATAAAAAGACATATGAACCACTTTGTTGAGAATATAGTGTATGACACACCCATCTTTTCTATATGATCAAACAGATCTGGCATCTTCACTCTGTGTAGACATATAAACATGGAAAACATGTAACAAAGACAATACTTTGCTTATCTATAGCCCAGAGAAAAAAAAGGAATCAGAGGAAGAAAGAGTATAATAATCAGGTAAACCATGATATAAACCACACTTAAGGCTAAGCGGTAAAGGAGGAATCACAAGAAAAAAGAGAACTAAAGTACGAGGAACAGGGGAACCACAAGGGCCATGGATACACAGGATCTTATGAAACACAAGAACAAGGTGAGCTAAGGGGAAAAACTAGGGAAACTAAAATGACCAGGGGAACCAAGAAGACCAACAAAATCACAAGGAACAGAGGATACAAAAAATATTCTGTAAAAACATAAGCATGGTGATGTATACTGTTAAAAGTTATATCATGTAACACTGTAATGTACACTGTAGCATACCTTACTACTTGACGCAAGGCCTCCTGCTCAATTTGTAATCCAAGCATATCTCTTGAATAGTAATCTACAGAAAATGGTCATTAATCTTTTGAGTTACAGTAATCCCAGCTACAGGCTGTAGTTAAATGCACATGTGCTAAAATATTTCATATTAACAGTATGTTGACAAAACAGGTTTGATTTAATCGAGGAAAAAAACAGTTGACCAACATTCAGTTGTGAGTTCACAAACATGTACCTGGTAAAAGATTTCCCACAATAACATCCAAAAGCCAAAAAGCTACTTCCTCTTTTCTGACAATGAGCAGCATCAATCCAGCAATATAGTTGAGACCCTGAAACACAGACCATCACACTTTTCAAGCTAAATAGTATAATTATTGATACATCAGCAATTATCCCAAAGCTGGACAGCTAGCTCACTTGATGATGTAAAAAAAGCTGGGTAAATTAGTACATGTATTTTGCTTGCATTCTCCGCAGAGAAATCAGCAGCTCACAATTCTGAAATGAAAGTCAAACACACATCCCACTTCACTTCACCTACTTACCTTGCACAAAATCCCTTATTTCTGTTCAAAAATTATTCGTTCCTGTGCCAAGCAATAACACTGCCTGCAGATTTACTGTTCTTGCTGTCACAAAAAAGCTCTCCTTCCAAGGGATTTGAGGAACGACACATATTTACTAGGCAGCATATAAAATGGTGTAGATATTACTATACTATAAACTGTAACTTATTAAGCCCACCACTTATTATTCATCTAGAAGGTCTGTCTACCGGTAAACAAAAAATACACAATTTATGATTATAAGACCTCCCTCACCCCTTTACAAAAGTTCACCCCTAATTTGTATTGAAATGAATTATATCCATGAAATTTGGAAGCTTAATTAACCCTTTAAGCCCCAGGAACCACGCACAAATTCTCCAAACTGATCTCCATACATTTCCTTACAGAATTAGTCGAGACAATTTGTTCAAAGATCAAAGCCTTTTTCCTTAGGTGATCATTTTATTTATTCTCATAAACTGCTATGGCTTGCTTTGAAGTGCTTTTTCTATTTCCGGGTATAAGCCCACTTGGATATAAGTCCCTCCATTAATTTATAGGCCCTCCTTAGACACCTTTTGTAGTTACTGAGGCGAGTAAGCCCAGCTGGGCTTAAAAGTGGCAGTTTACAGTAAATATGTGGATGACACCTACCTGACAGTAACCTATTCTTGGATTGTGTTTGGCATAAGCTACAAGTACATTGTACAAAGCAGGCCTCAGGTCGTTCTGTCTGTTGGTAAAGTGTATGTTATCTGGGAAGGTACGATCAATGTCTAAAGGAAAAAAAGACAAGGAGAGAAAATATGTGAATACTCAGGCTCCAATACATTTTGTATTATCTTGGATCTGTACATCCCTTACAGGTGAGCACATCAGGATGCTTGAGATGTGTTCAGTTCTTCATGAACAAAGACACCATCTATCCATCCATCCAGTTAATCCCTCCATTCATTTGTCTGGCCCATCAATGTGTTTGCCTAGTCCATCAGTGCTTTGGTCTGCAGTCCAGTCATATTAACAACCCTTTAAGCTGCACTAGTTAATCCATGTTACAGATCAAAATTAAATTCAGGTTAAATTTTTTTAACCTAGATTGAACCTCTGTTTCCTTTGTCTCCTAGCCCTAATTCATGAATAATTAGGGCTAGGAGAGAAAGAAATTGAGAATCAACCTAGGTTAAAAAATTTCAACCTGAATTTTGACCTAGTGTATCCTCTAAAGACAAAATTCTCCAGAATGATCTCCACCCACTCTCTTTAAAAATAAGTTGAGACAATGTGATAGCTGGTCAAAGCATTTTCCCTTGGGTGATCACTTCGTTAAAATTCTCATAACCATTACTCTTGATTATATTATATTGATAGGTCACTATTGGGAGAAACAGGGGTGGTTTGCCCCCATCATGTACAAACTTACTCCAAAATCTGTGCAACATATACCTGTCTGAATGCTATGCATTGTCTGTTCATCGAGGCCTTCCCCTGTCAGCTGTTGATATTTACCACGATTCAACTTCATCTTCTTTCTTGCTCCACTTATATCCACCCACACCTTGAAGAGAAATTTTAAAATATCATGATTAGGAGAAAAAGGCATTACATGTACTTGCATCTTTTCTGGAGGATTAAAAGAGGCCAAGTTTTAAAATTAACCCCATCAATCTTCAACCAAGTTATGGCAAGGTTATTTGTCACTGTAACTTTGAAATCTGGAGATGAAATCCTATGGTTTTGCCATTTAAACGAAACCTCTCCTGTAGAACTTTTGCATAATAATACTCATTTCTCAGGATGTTAAAACAAGCAATTTGAATTTTCTTGTGCAAAAATTTTCTTTCACCTTTACAAGGAGCGAACGAGTTAAAATGTAAAAAGAAACACTTGTAGAGATTATGTACCTGGGCTCTAAGCTCCGATGGAACTCCTTTCCGGACAAATCTTTTCACTATAGTAACACAAATAAAAAGCTTTTAATTAAACAAACCTGTAACTATTTAGCTGTACTTAATAAAAACCAAAAATCTTAGTCTTTATCTTTTCGAGAAGTGTGTTTATTTAATGCTCCTGGTAAATTTACAACTATGGCCTATGGGTGTATTTGATTGACCACAATTAATTATTCTGAAAATACAAGTAGGAATACCAGTACATTGAATGATCTGAAATGTTTGTTTCATTGACCTGCTATATATTCCAATTCTCGAATAAGCAGAATATATTCCAAACATTCTGCCCCAGGTAGCAGGAATGATTGGAATAAAATAGAATAAACTAACCTGATCACAGCTGTGCATTCTGTGCATTCCATTCGTTTTTGCTGGAAGACCACACAAATGCAGGCTAGTACGTACATACTGCCATGCATTAGTAATAGCCAGCTGTTCTACAGTTGTTTTATTATAGAGTGCATATGGTCAAGTAGGGTTCTGCTGAACTTCACATGAGCTGATTTAGTTTTAATAAGGAAATCTATTGTTCTCACTTTTGAATTAGACTCAGCAAAATTGAAGATGTGCCTTAAGTCAAGGTCATACGAGGCCCCTCTGCTGTAATTCACGGTTCAACAGAAGCGTGACAGAAGCACGATGGACTTCAATTCAGACTTAATTGCTCTGCTGAACCAAAATCAAAACTTTGATTCAGACAGATCCATCATGCTTCAGCCTTGCTTTCAAATTCTCAAGAATTACATTTGGCACAGCAGAACAAAGCCTTTTAGTGCTGTAGTTCCTAACCTCTTCTTGACTTTCTCACTTTATTTACACCCTTCATGAATCTATCCCATCTTGATGCTCTCCTTGCCAGCACCCTTAAATAGCTCGACATAAATTCCTCATAGCTTGAGTAATCAAAGTCGTCTGGTCGGTGGAATCCATACTCATCTACAGGACTGCAGGTTTAAGTTTAAAAGGTTGGAATTCAAATAACAAAACAAAGCAGAGGCAAGAATTTTCGAGCACAAAAATTAACTTGAAAATGTGCGTCAAAACATACCACTTATTCATTCTTGTGTTTGGTTTAAGTATCAGGCGGGAAGATAAAGTGAAACTTGTAAGTGCAAAAAAAAAAATTGTAAATACTCCCATGCTAATCATACACAAATTAATAACTTCGACAAAGTTAAAATAAACATTGTGAGAATTTTTTCAAAAATAAGGCTAATACTATATTTTAGCAGAAATTTGCTGACTGTTAAGTTTTTAGGGTTAGCTCTTTAACCTTGAAATTAACACTTGAAATTCTATACCACCAATATATAAACCATTAATGATTTACCCTTAATTAATCCTGAACGTAGCAGTGTATAAGTCATATGTTTAGCCGATGCCACAAAATTCTGTCAGACTTGAACATAACACCATTCTCAGCCGGATTATAAAGTATAGCTAGAAAACTTAGTAACATTCATCAAGAACAAACTACAAAAAATGTCCTTTGAGCAATGTATTAAAGCGTATTACTCAACATTAATTTCCGCGTCAGTCGACGTGCAATAGAACACATGTAAAAGCTGTCCATTCAAGCTCGATAGACGAGTGAAGAGAGAATAAAGAATATTTTACGCGTATTACCTTTGAATTGTGGACATTTTTGCTATTTCTCATATAAAAGCATTCTCAGAGCTTCCACTGGTGGAGAAGACGATAAAGACTATGCATTTACGTGAATTTCCACCGAAAACTTACGCCGCACTACATCGCCAAAATGTTCTGTCCTCGGATTTCCTAGATCCTCGCTGTTGATTGGTTATCTAGTCTCCTGACCAATCAAAAAACAAAGATCCAATAATTGTTTTAAAAAGGTTGCCTGTTTTTGGAAATCGTTCCCCTTGTGTGTCATCAATTAAAAATAGTGAACTCTGACCTTTTTGTACATAATTGTAAAAAAATATCTGGGAAATAATCGTACGAAAACTCGTACTTTACATCAGCCAATCAAAGTGCGCGTTCTATCGTCGTCCTTTCGAAATCACCGACAGTGGAGCGTTCTGGGAAACACAGAGGAGAGGTCTAAGATGGCGTTGTTTCCAAACACAACCCTGCATGTACGATGACCTGACAGATAATTATTAAAATTCACGATATACGCGCTGTGAGAACAGGAAGATGCAGAGTGACAGCGACTCGGACAACGAATTCTTCGATGCAACCGAGAAGCTTAGTTTATCAGGCTCGTTTGTAGCAGATCCGAGGTAGGGGAATTTTGTAAGCTTTGCGTTTTGATAGGATTGCGCTGACAAACTTGGTTATAAATCCCCAAATAGGGTCCAACATATATTTTTTTCATTGTTGTTTGCTAATGTAACTTAATTATTGCCCCCTAGCGCCTCGCTTCATAGAAATATTATATTTCCTGTATTTCTCACAGATCAAAAAATTTTTACGAGGCCATAATCGGAAACTTTCGTTTCTGTTTTTATTCTACATGCAGTAATTTATAAGCCTTATTGTTAAATATTTTTGTCGACTAGCCAATTTCAATTAGTTCTCACAGTGGGTTCTTGTTCTGCCTCTTTCACAGCGAACAAAAGGACTCGCGCGTATTCCAAAAGGTATGTTTTCTAGAGAAACTCTAGAGTTAGATGCTTAGAACTTTACCTCGTTCAGGAATCATGCTACATGAACAATCAAATGTATATTTGGCAATCAATTTCCTAGAGCTCAAAGCACCTGTTTACCTCCGTTTTAAATGATAAAATTTTTGACTTGTAATTTTATTCCTTTGTAAAGGTGAAGCCGGTGCCTTTTATGCTGCAGGGAACTTTAGAATTCCTATAGCATATTAAGACAGTTTGATTCAATTTTTGAATTTCTTTTTCGGTGTGGTTTACTGTTGATATGCAAATGGTTGTTCGTTTGGTGTATAAAGTTCCTTTATAAATATTTTTAGAACTTCCCAGGGGACTTGTATAAATTTACATATATTTATTTCAACAATATGTGTACATGTACCTTCTAGGAAAAAGAAATAGTGCATCTAAAATTAATCACTTTGAGATGCAAGTTATATGTTCAACATCTTTCAACAAGTCTTTTTGCCAGTGGTGCTACACTAGATACAAAAACACTTCAGTAAATGCCTGCTCACTGCAAAAGATATACACTATAAATCCTGTGTTAGAGCCTCGATATGGTGAGTGTGAGGACACAGGCTAGACCCCTAGACCAAACCCCCTACTAAGCCTAGGGACAGAAGAGGGTTTAAAACCTGCTGAAATTATACAGCTGGCTGTGATGCCTCAGCAAACTGCTGTAGGGGTTGTTCTTTTTTTATCAGGTAGGGGTGCTGGTGGGATTTCAGGGGGGCCAGTTAAAAAAAATATGGCTTTAATGGGGGAGTCAAAAGAAAAAACATTGGGTTTAAAGGGGAGGCCACCCAAAAAATTCCTTCAAATTTTGCAGTGATGGCATTTCTAATAATGCAAACAGCCAACCAGAATGCCAAAAACCAGCATTTCTGATACTTAATAATAATAATGAAGTCTTTATTCATTAAAAGATAAAAATACATGTGTATCTTTTGTTACAAGTAAGTGTAAGAATTTTAAAAAGGTTAAAAGTAAGAATTAAAATCTAGTATATTACATAGCCAATTCATATTTAAAAACGAAACGGTTAATAAAAGAGTTTTTAAAATGCTGGTGTTAATCTTAGGTTTAAAACAAGTTTCTTTCCTAAGATTGTAACCGGACGGTTTAACATGAGTCATAATAGATAAAAGTGGATGTCCTTTAGCAGTAGAAACTTTTCTCATCTCAATTAATTTGGGATACAAGGGATGGGCCACCCAAAAAATTTCCTATGAAGAGGGGGGTCGTCATATACTCAGGGCTTCTGATAGGTCGCGGAAGGAAACGTCAAATTTCGCGGGTTTTTTGAAGACAAATTTGTGAAAAAATCAGCCGATTTCGCGGGAGTTTTCAGGGCAAACTTCACTAAAAAGCAATCGGTAAAATACAGCTGATTTTGTGGTTATTTTCAAGGCAAATTTCACTCGAAATTTGTGCTGATCAGACCAGCATTTTGAACGTTTTTGTTCTTTCAACAACAATGCGCTCCAGAAATGAACCAATGGCAAAGCCTTTAGCATCATGGCTAGTGCGCAGTTTTTTGCAACATAATCTACACCTGGTAGTTTTGGAAGGTAGTTTGCACGTTTCAGTGAGGAAGTTCCAAGATAAATTTGCAAGTTGACAACAAGTAAATAGCTCCTATAGCTGAAATAAGTTTCAAATATGTCGTACAGACATGTATTTGATAAGATTTCTACCGTGTTGTGTTTTTGTGAATATCGCAGGATTTCGCCGATTTACCTGAATTTCGCGGCTCCGCGGCCGCGCGAAATATTAGAAGCCCTGTATACTACAGGAGCTACCTGTCAAATCCCACCAGCCCCCCCTCCCCATTAAAAAGCAATGTCAGAGTCTTGACTAAGATCTTCAACCAATTCATCAAAATAATGCCCTATTCTAGACCCAAATTCTCTGGTTTCTATACCTTATCCCAGACTAAACTGCTTCAAAACCATACCCTTGAAAGCAGCACATACCTAGAACTCATTTATAACAGTACCCCACCCCCCCTTCTTCCCCATCCCTGGTTAGGCAGTAACGCTACTACCCATTATTCTGGTCTCCCTTATGCTAATTTATCAATTTATAGAAGATGTATTAAAAGAATGTAAAATGCTGTTCAAAGAAGTGGGGGTATATAGACCCTCTATCTTCCATGCTGGGAGGAGCAGAATTGACCACATGTTGTTATGGTTACCCTACCAAGAATTGGCAAAGCTAAAGTAAATTCAATTGTACAATACGAATTGTATAACCAATAAAGGTAAAAGCAGGTTATCATTGATAATAATAATGAAAATGTAAGTGATGATGATAATTGTAATATATATTTCAATAATCTTTCTTCGTAGGGTGTTAGCTATGCAACAACTCTGGTAGAAGATGATGAGTCCATTAAACAAGCAGAAGATTCTGCAAACCAAGATACTCCCATGATTGTTGAAAGTAATGAGCCAGGCATTTCAAATCTTGAAGGAGAAGGGACATCTTTAAACCAAACTCTGAATGATGTAAAAAATATCGACAACTCAGAGAAATTAATTGACTCAAAAAATTTAGACTCCTCAATTGCTAATGAAGCAGCTGAGACACCTGGTGTTAGGACTTGTGCTGAAGAAATTAGTTTGACAAGTGATAACTCTTTTCAAGTAATGAACTTGGCTGTGCAGAAGGATACTGAACTGGAATCTGATCCTGGTGGTGAGAAGAAGACAGATATTTCAGCAACCAAAACAGATGCCACCCAGATCGTTGCTGATGTTGTTGATGGCATAGAACAGGAAAGTGCTCCGCCTGTTGCTCCTCCGAGGAGAAAGAGAAAGAAAAAGAAGAATGTCGGAGATGCACAGGTTGGTTGAAGTTATGAATAATATTCCTCATTTATGGGGGTTTGTGCTTGAGATTTACTCACTCAATAATGTGAGTCAAGAGACTAAAGGGCTTGTAGAAAATGAATTTACAAACACATTTTTGTGTCATACACATACATCTATGTAATGTAAAATGCCCTTTTCAAGGATCTCTTTTTCCATTGTCCTGTTGTAGTCAAGTTCAAGTAATCCATTTTCCAACCCCACTGTCTTCAAGGACCAAAAGTTCGTGTCAAAGCATTTGCAGTTCCATCTTCCTTAAATTTTCATCTGTCATAGCTTTCAGAAGTCACTCTCCCTGCGGTAAGGCAGATTTGTGTGACTTATAGATGTATCCTTTATCTTTGGTATTTTTATTGACAGGAGGGTGACCTAATGTCGCCAACATCAGAGAGTCCTGGGCCAGACTCAGCTGTCACAACACCAACTGAACTGCCAGAAACCAGCACTGCGAAGGCTTTTGCTGCCGCAGCTCTTCAGAATGAACGGAGCAATGACTCAGAAGAACTTCAACAGTTAGGAGTGAATGAACCCCAAAAGGATGATCCAAGCATTCATGTTGATTCCAATAACAAGGAAATGAAGAATGTGTTAGCTAAAACAAGTTCCACAGAAGTTATTTCAAATTTCACTCTAGATACAAAACTTAAATCTGGTAGTGTTGCTTCTCTTGGAAGTACAAAATCGGATAGCTATGCCAGTGTGGCAAGCAGTTTGTCTAATGGAATTCATGAAAAAGAGGGATCATTTACTTCAGTTGCTAGCACGCATTCCATGCAACATCAAGGTGGTTTAGTGCGGTACAGGTCACTCACTACAGGGAGGCCTCTATCTGATATTGTGAGTACACACTGCATTGCATTATTGCCCATTTTCAGTTATACAGACACACAAAATTAGTTATTCCCTTAATTTTTATCCTTATATTATCAAGCCTCAAGCAATCTCAACAATGGTGAGAGTAAAGCACGGATCAATCAACATGATAGTCAAACAAGATGCTGTCTTGAATTTAAAACAAATTCTCTTCATCAAATTCCCCCCCCCCCTCCCCAGGACGCTAATATTATTCAATAATTGTGGGCGGCAAGAGTAGTCTACAATCCTAATCTCAAAGTTGTTATTTTGCATGCGTATATTTGCAGCCAGCATTCATTTGGACTTCCACTTAGAAAGAATGGAATGCACAGAACACAATTTGATCACGTGCCTTTAGACGTTCTATCACTTGTAATCTGATCACGCGTGTTTTGACTATCTGTCGCGTGAAACTTACACAAAGCTTAGCCCATGTAGCAAATGCGTTTTGACCTTTGATCGTTGTTGCCCACATTCTGTAGCCTTTGGTTATTGCTAGTATAAAATATATGTAGAAATATTTAAGAAAATTTAAGAGAATAATAGATGTGTGTTGCATGGTGAACCCCAACAACAGGCATGTGCAGTCATTCATGCAGTGTATTCATATCTCTCTGTCAAGGAAATCTTGGAGCAAGTTATGGTAAAGAATCTTGATACTGGTGAAGCTGTTCCACTTAGCATAGCAGAAGAAAAGTTACCCAAATGTACCAATCCTCTGGCTTTACAGATAATGAGATTAACATCAGAATACTCCAGGTATTGCAAAAGATTTCTTGTAATGATCCAGATCCCTGAGATACATTTTGTAGTGCAAGATTACAGAAACTTTTCGTTTTTTCTCAAAACGATAGGGTTTTGTTCCAGAACAATACTTAAAGAAACTCTAAAGAGCTCTTAAGCCCTAGACATGTCAATTGGCTCTTCTTATAACAAAGTAATGTGAGGGTCAATGGGTTATGCCCTCTTTGCCACCACCCCTAAGGGCATTCCAGTGTAACTTCTGTCTCCAAATGTTTTGGTAAAATAGATATCATCCCTTTCCTAAAATTGTTTTTCATTTCTTTTGAGTGAATACCTTTTTCAACAATGTTCTGGATCTTGTATATTTTATATACTGCAAATGACTTTAATTGCTGAATTCTTCTTAATCCTTGTCATATTTTATTATAATTTATAACGTCTTGGTCAAATTTGTTTAAATTTTAGCAACCCAGATCTTACAGCCCAAGAGCACGAAGATGGAGTTGAACGTAGAGTCTCCAAGAAAACGTAAATATCTTGGAGATAATAAATTTCCTGCTTTTCTTCCACAATTTGCTTGATTTTGTTATCAGTGACTAACCTTATTTCGTTGTTATGGCATTCTTCCTAGGAAAAAGCTTAGAAATTTCTTTGTAAAGAAGGGTAAAAAGCATGATAAACCCGTTAAAGGTTAGTTGTTTGTTTCTTTCCAAATAAGAATATTATTTTATAATAATTTATCTTGCGGTACTGATTACAAACTTGTAAAAACTTTCAAAACGTTTTTTACTCCTACATTGTCCAATAACCAACTGTTCTTTGCAGCCCTGTACTGGGTTCTCGTGCTATGGTGTACATCATAACTTACAGACCCATGTAATCAGGGTATGAAGGAAGTTAGTTGTACAGCCTGCCATTCGGGCTAGCTGTAGCTAGCATGCACTAGCCCACGAGTTATTTCAACAAGCCCCAAAACCCTTTTTGATTAGCAGGATTGATTACAATCCTTCTGTAATTTGAATTTCCCAAAAAAAACAGCACTTGCCCATCGGGTAAGTTAAGAACAAAAATCACTAGCCCAATCACAAAATCCAGTAGCCCTGGGCTGTTGCACATGACTTTCTTTGCACGCTAGTAATCTTCCTTGTTTTTATTTTTGCAGTGCGTAAGGATGATAGTTCTTCAAGTGATGAGGAGGCACCTCAAGACTCTCCTACCCCTCTTATTAAGGTTAGTTCTGCTCTGTGTTACACACTGAAATGATTCTACCACCATGCAAAAAATTCACCTTTCTTATATATTGATTGCAGATCAAATCTGGTCATGGAAAAGGTCCAGCTGAGTTTGAGAAGCTGAGAATTTTGCAAGATCTTAGTGGAGAACATGTGGTATGTTCTAGACACTGACACAATGATACCATTGTGAATGGCTTATTAGTCATGACAGGGCTGAATTAACTTGGGATTGTTGCCGATCATGTTGACCCGCGAAAGAAATCTTAGCTCAGTCACATCTCTCTTCTGACCAGTCAAAATGTAAATACTGGTAAAAACACAATAATAACTTGAATGTACTAGAGTAACCGACAAAAAATAAAGTAAAAAAGGAAGGTTGGCCTCTTGAAACGTAATGAGGTGTCGGTGAAAATGTTTTTTTCCTGGTCGCTTATTGAAATGCTTGGTCAAAATGACCAGCAAACCAAAAGTTTGTCCAGACAAATAGTCATCTTGGCCAGACATTGTTGGTTGACCGGCCATTATTTTGAGTAATGGAGTAACATTCCATCATTTTATACCAGACTAACAGAGCTTATGTATCTTTTGTTGTAGGGGGCTGTTTGGACAATAAAATTTTCTATGTGTGGGAGACTTATGGTGAGACAATGTAACTCCAGTAACTTTGCCTTTAGTTATATCAGCTTTTACCCAGCCCTGATATAACTCTTGATCTCTTGACGAATGCTTTGCCTCTTTTTCATTTTCAGGCCACTGCTGGTCAAGACCACATGGTGGTAGGTGAATCACTCTATAGTATGAAAACTAGATCATTGTTTAATATATCCACAGGGTGCAAAGAAAATCATTTTTACAGCTAGCAGTTACTAGCCCACACGTCATTTCAGCTAGTCCCAAAAACTTTTTGACCAGCAGAATTGATTTCACAGACAGTTCTTCTGTTATTCGAATTCGTCAAAAAAAACATCACTTGCCCGTCGGGCAAGTTAAAAACAGAATTAACTAGCCCGATAGCAAAATCCACTAGCCCTGGGCTATCAGACACTACTTTCTTTGCACGCTGATCCAATGCTTTGACAGTCTGTTCAATCAGAAAATTTTATCTAGATACAGCAATCCTGATGACCATACACCAATCGCCATCACAATAGACAGGGCTTTAGAAAAACACGTGAATTTCAGCTTGTCCTTAACCTAACCCTGACCCTTGTCTACATCTACAATGTTTTTTTGATGACTTACTTGGGCCTTGCTCATCAGACAAGTTAACAAGTTACCAAGCACCAAACACTGTTGTTCAAACATTGAATAGCTCTATCCACTGGATAAATCACTTTGCAGCAGATAAGTATTAAGGAAACCAATTGCGTTCACCTCTGTATAGAGATTTATCCACGGGATAGTGCTATCCAACATTCGAACAACCGGGGCCCCAGAGCAACAAAAAATCTATTGATTACGTAAATCTATTCATCACGTATGAGCAGAGAGGACTTTTTTGAGCCTAGGGTGGAATAAATGGGACAATCACTATTCAAAAAATAGCCATCTTGTTAGAGACTTACCACTGATTATTTTTATTGATTTTTAGAGGGTTTGGGTGTTGAAAGAATCTCGGAGTTATTTTGAAGAAATGAGAACAAAATATTCTAAACCAGGTAAGACATTTTTAGCAGTAGACCCCTTTGCAATAAAAATGTTGTTGTCTTCAGTACTTCACGCCAAACCAGAGTAATTATCTTTAACCAAGTACAGCAGATGCCCAAGAAAGACATTTACTCGGCCAAGTTATGTATATGTTACAGGTCACATTTGATTTCAGACACAAATTCTTTAACATAGGTTGATTCTCAGTTTCCTTTGGGGACAACCTAGGTATTTTTTAAAAAATAAACCAGAAATGAAGTTTGACCTGTACCCTTGTAGAACCAGACATATGCAAAACCTATGCTCATGCTATTTGTTTACTATGTTGGACTATGTTTCAGCTATGTTATGTTCACTACTGCCTATGTATTAACTATGTAACACACCAAACAACATAGTCCAAAGTATGCAAAATCTATGTTGAAACTATGTTTAGGCTATTTGAAAAGCACATAGCTTTTGAATACCTATGCAAATACTATTCAAAATCTTTTCATAGTCTTGACATAGCTATGTATTTACTATGCAATAGAAAGTTCTGCTTTTCCTTCCGATTAGCATCCTATGTATTCACTATGCATCAAAGTAAAATAGCTTTTACATAGCATTTCGATCTTCACTTTTATTTCCAACAAGTTTCTTAGCTTTTACATAGTGCTATGTATATTCTATGCTATGTGATGAAACATATTTGCAGCCTATGTATTCACTATGTGACATTTTCATTTAGCTTTATCATGAGATAAAGGCTACATAGCTTTTACATAAACATATTTTTTCCTATGTCACTCATATGAAAAATATATGTAGTCTATGCGTTTCCTATGTGATATTCCAACATAGCTTTTAAGTGACTAGGCATGTTGATGGTATCGCTTACAGAAGGCTAAGCATACTTCCAAAGTAAAAAGCAGTGTTTTAAACTAAGACACTGAAAAATCATGTACTATAATTTTTTTTGTGCTTGCAGATAGTTTCTTAGTGAGAAGACTTTTGTTAAGCATTGAATCGCTACATCCATCGTCCCTGTCTTAACTTTCCTTTCTAGCTTTTCCCTAGAGTTCTTCACTTGAAATGATACTTCCAAGCATCATTTTCTTCTTTTACATTGGGTTCGATCCTTCGTCTTGATTGTGGGCGTCTCCTGAATATAACTGCATGGTCAAAACTACGAAACGCTACCTGCCTCGGTGGATGTTTGTCAGCCATTTTGTTTCCACTAGTTCCCAGGGAAGCCCGTGAGTTCAACACATGCGTATTTTGCGTTTTATCATCACGTGGGCCTTTTCAACCAATGAAAAGGTGTGAAAATTGTCTGTTTCCACGCGGGCGCTTTCAAGTCAAAGAAGACGAGCTGTAAGCGTGCGTTTTTACAAGAAGACGCTTCTTTTTACTTCAATTTACAGTCTTTTTCCTGCCAGGTTCAACAAAAAGTATTCCTAACGTTGGTAAGTGATGTTTTTCTCAATTAAGTTTCGATTTGCCTGTGTTGTCTCCCCTTTTCGCGTATCTGAACAAGGATCATCCTCGGAGACCCAGGGGCAGATAGTGGGGACGAGGGAAAGTCTAAACGGGCGGAAAAATATGGCACGAAGAAAAGTAAAGAACGGCGAGAAGAGCTTCTCTCTTCTCTTCTCGCCGTTCTTTACTTTTCTTCGTGCCATATTTTTCCGCCCGTTTAGACTTTCCCTCGTCCCCACTATCTGCCCCTGGGTCTCCGAGGATGAACAAGGATCGGTCGATCACGCTTTGATACTCCTTCGTTTCAATTCTAAAACGTCAGGTTGTTTTTATGTTCATTTGCCTTAAAATCTCCACTTTTCTGTTTGCAGATACTTATTCGTTGTAGTCAAAAGGAAACTGTATGGCACTGAAGAGCACGACATCAGCAAAAAGTCTACACGATAAGCAAACTTAAACTTGGGGTTTCGATTCTGAAACCTCCATGAAAATACTGCATTTGTGTTACTATTAGTGTTCGTGGTATTATATTGCCATAGTTTTTCAATTTTTCGTTTCAAAACCTATTTCTTACCAATGTAAAAGGTATTCTAATTCATATTTTTATACTATTTTTACTATTTTGGTGATTTTTACGAACGTATTTTAAACACTACATTTGCTTAAGCAGATCGAAACCTACATACACAAGAGACTATGTCAATTCTATGTAATTTCTGTTTGAACCCTAGTTAAAGCTTGTGTATGTGATATGTTTTACCTATTCAAATACTATTAAAATCCTATTTCAAACCTATGCAAAGACTATTTGTTCTGTGTTTTCCCTATTTTAATGCTATGCAAAGTATATGTCACCTTTAAAAAGGCTATGTTTTTCATATGTTTTTTCTATTTCTAGGCTATCTAAATTCTAAGCAAACCCTATTCAAAAGCTATGTAATCAACTGTTCCCTGTTCCATTTTACTATGTAAACTCTATTTCAGTCCTATGTGAAGGCTATTTATTTTCTATGATTTTTCTATGAGGTTGACTATGAAGTCTAAAATCTCTTTCCACAAGCTAAGTAAACTGTATGTATAGGCTATGTGGAAACTATGTCATTTCTTCCTTTATTCCTACCTTTAAAAACTACATAGCTTTTAAGTAGGTTCCGTTTGACTAGCGAAAACATAGCATTTTCGATACAAAAAACATAGTCCTGGCATAGAAACAACATACGATCTGGTTAAAGCAATGTATGAGTGATTAACATAGGTTTTGCATAGCTTTGTGACATAGCATTTGCATAGATTCTACATAGTGTCTGATTCTACAAGGGTAGAATACATTCTAGGTTTTCCTTATGCAAAGTACCCTGTTTTCTGGAAAAATCGCTCTTTGAGCATAAAACAACCAAAGCTCCCCACAAAATGTCAAATCAGATGAAATAAACGGCCTGAGACGAATTCTAGGATTCTCTATTAAAGCCGATTTTCATTCAGAGAAACGAAACCTTGTATATAAAATACAACCACCGCTGGGCCTATGAAAATTTGCTTCTTCTAAAAACGTGTTAACGCTGTACTGTCGTTATAATACTAAGCCCTTGTAAAACGTTCAACAAGTATATTTTATACGGATTGCCTTCGCACATCGCACAAGCGCTCAACTGCGCACTTTAAGCAGCCAGTAATGTAAAGTTCGGCTTAAAGGTCAAGACGGAAACTACAAAGGCTAATCCGTGCGTCATTTTGGTTCATAAGGCTACTCGCTGGGTGCCTCGGCTGTTGAAAAGGAAATTCTTCCAGCGAAGACTTCTTTATTACAACAACACGAAAGCCTCGTTTAATCCTGACTGCTGGATACTACTCTCAGGAGGTTGTCCGAACCCTGGACCAAAACAGAACGAGACTAAAGTAAGAGCAAGATGCTTCTTATGCGAGCGAGTCATCGGTAAGAACACGAAACGGATTTTGGAGTGCTCAGGATGTTCAAAGCAGCTCAAAGTTCAAAGCTGTATTTTAGGCAGTAACAAAGAGTGGGTAGAAAATCATGTAATTTCAACATGTAGTAGCATTGCTGTGAAGTTCTTTCGAAGCATTAAAACATTAATTTTATTCTTTATCATTGAATCTTTTAAATTCCTTGCAGAGGACAGATCATCAAAAAGCGAGGAGACTTGTGAAGAAGATATTGAAATGGAGGATACGTTAAGAGCAAGTGAAGAATGTATGGCGGGAGATGAAGAGGAAGGGAAAACGGCGGAAAGTGAGGTCAGCTCCATAGAGTATTACTACTAAACTGATTTACTTTGAGATTCTGTTATACTTATGGCGAGGCTCGTTCACGTCTTTTAAGCCATGATGATACGAAACAAGCAAGATAAATGTGTAATAGAAAGTTAAGATGATGAAGAACAAGATACAATTTCGGTCAAGATAACTCTGCACTTGAGCGACATAACTCGGCATTCGGGCGACATAACTCTGGTTTTGGGCGACATAACACGGTATTCGTGCGACGTAACTTCGGGCGACTTGACCGTAAACCTCATGACCTTATTCTCCTGTTTTAGGAGCCTACACCTGAGCCCACTCCTGAAGAGGACTTGGGTCCTTATATGAAGACTCCTCTGTGTACCTACTGTGGGCATACTGGTGATGTACTAGACTTATCGTGGTCCAAGGTATGAAGGCACCTCAACTTTTTTTACCTTTAGGAACCAGGATTAGTAGAGTCGGTTGGTGCGCGGTGTGGTGTGACCTCAGATCCTTACTACGACTTCGTTCCTTCTCGTGTAGCTTTAAAAGAGCTGTGTCACGAAATTTATCAAAATTCATACGGTGGGAACTGACGCCAAATTGAGTGAATATAAAAATAACCGCTTAAAACGTCAAAAGAAGATATAAATAACACAGTGAATATAAAAGGAAGAAAGGATGGGTAAATTTAAAGAAGATTAAAACAGATTACAATTAGGGTTTTTTGAAAACTTGTTAGCCTAAAAATTTTTCAAAGTTCATTTTTTTTTGTTGTTTGTAACGTCTGATATTATGCTTGGGAGACATATTTGTTGTGAATTTGTCATTTGCCAGGAATATCTTCGCTTAAGTTAAGTTCCATCACAAATAAGGACGTGCATGAATTGCGCAAAATTTACAAAATGAATAACACAGCCGTGACACAGTATCTTAAAATTCCCGTAAAACAGAGCACTGATGGTAAGGTGAGAGTGGGTAAAATGAGCGCACCGTTGCATGGTTCTAATGCATTTTTACCTTAAGTAAAAAAAGAAAAGAAAAAAACACCTTTCCAGCAGCCAGTGCGTCAAAACGGGATGGACGTGAATGAGTGTTGGCTGAAAGATTCTAAGTTTTGAGGGCAAACGGAAATATCTCACAGACGTTAGTTATCTCTGAAACTCCGTTACGATTTTGTTTTATGTTTTGTGTTTTTCTTTCAGAATTACTTCCTGTTGTCGTCCTCAATGGATAAAACTGTGAGGTATTTTTTTTTTCTTTGTAAAACAATAAGTGCGATTGTTATTATTAGCGTCAAAGTCAGTATAGCACCAGATGTCTCTCTGTATAGGCTTGGTGGCTAGAACAATCCACTGTTCCTAAAAAGATGGCGACTGGTACATTTACCCACAGTTCTTAGCGCACGAAAACCATTAAATTGCTCATAAAAACGCACAGAAAAGTTTTATAAACTTCAAACCTTGGATAGGCAGTGTTGCTACTACAGGGACGAATTGCCCCCCCAAAAAAAAAAAAAATGACTTTATGTGTAATTGGCCGTGTTAAGTTCGAAAGGAATTGTGGTAAAAAATTAACAGCCGCCATCTTTTTTTCGTACGGCGGATTGATCAGCACTCAGAGTGGACGCATTACTGGGTAGTCTAGCCTGTTAGTGGAGCGCGTGCGAGCGAAAGGGACACTGGGGAGAGCAAGTTGCTTCTCCCCAGTAACCCCCTTTTCGCTCGTTCTCTTTTTTGCCCGCCCTCCAATAATTAAAAGCCGGGAACAAGCTATGAGTCGGTGGTCTCCGGGCGTTAACGGATGGCACGATCTCACACCACAATATAAAAGTTAATCAACAACAGTTTCCACAACTCTAGGGAACACATCAGATCTCGCTTGTAACACTTTTCCCGTGATGTTCAACATTATTTTCTTCAGCTTTAGTTTTGACAAATTAGTTTAAGTCCATTTCCACTTCATTGTTGCAGATTATGGCACATTTCAAGAACAGAGTGTCTCTGCTGTTTCCAGCATATTGATTTTGTTACAGCGATATGTTTTCATCCTAGGGTGAGACAGGTTTTTGTGTTTCTTACAGTTGTATTAGTGAAGGCAAAAAACGGTATGTTAACATTTAGGTGATCAACAGATGCGACATTTTATCCAATAGTCAGGGCCAAGTTACGTCAACCAAAATTAAAAAGTTTATCTACGTTTATTCAGTGCTACATACCACTTATTACCCGAGAGTGAGGTCAATACAGGGAATCTCTACCGAGGCCTTGATGTATTGACCGAGCTATAGCGCTATTCTGTTCTTCCTCTGACTCGAGATAATATATAACTCGCTTTCGGTGCTATGGCTCGCTTCGGCCCTTATAGTAATACTGAAGAAGTATCGGTATGCTTTCAGTTATTGAAAAGATAGTTATAATTTGTCGGTGTTTTTTGTTGTTACAAGAAAATCTTGCTCTCTCAGCAGCCCATCAGAGTGCGCGTACTATTTCAGCCATATACAAATGACAGTTAAACAAGGACTAGAAAATTCTTTAAAAAGTGGGTACTTTTTATGAACGGTGAAAGGAGATTCTCATTCATTCAAGTTTCTATCCCACCACGTTTGGTAGAACCATATGGTGTCACAAATTATAAAAATAATATGTGATCTCTTTATTTTCTCCTCTAGGATGATCGTTACTTTTTAAGTGGTTCGCTGGATGGTAAAATCCGTTTGTGGAATATCCCAGATAAGAAAGTGGCACTTTGGAATGAATTGGAAGGTTCTGGTATGGAAACTTATTTTGCTATGATTTTGCCGCGCCGAGCAGTTTCTAGTCGTGTGTCCTACTTATTTTAGGGAATTCTCTGTTTTTTCTGTTACAAAGGTTTACGACTGTCTTTGGTAGGATTCTGATAGTTGAATTGTGTTTGCATTCTTCTTGGCGTTACTTTTAACAAGTTCTTCACAAAACATTTGGGCTGTCTTACAGGTTACAGGCAAAGATAATTCTTCTGATTAAGCTTGTCCCTAGTGCCTTCTCCTTTTTAAATAGCTGCTCGCGAAAACTTTAGGACGAGCCCTGTTGAAGCACTGCGTTAACTCTGGAGACAAAAGTCAAGTGACGCGTGCTAAGCGTGAACTAAGGTCCCGGATTTGTAAGAAGAGTAATGTCGCTTATCAATCACTTGGGATAAGCTCCTAGGAATATCTTGTCATTCTTCTAGGCAGATTGATCAGTCCAGCATGAATCTTGGAGTATTTCAGTAGTATTGTTTCCCTAGTCTTTGGGTAGCCATTTCGATCGATGTGACTGATTTCAAATCATTAACTTGTTTATCCACTCTTCCACACACAGGAAGTAATTTAATCACTGCTGCTAATTTCTGTTTGAATGGAAAATTTGCCGCAGTGGGAACTTACGACGGGCGCTGTATCTTCTACGAGACAGAGGTAAAAAAAAAACGTTGAATCATTCAGACTCAAGCTTTTCTTAACGTTGTTAAGTTTGCTTTCCTCCTTTTAATTAGCGACTCAAGTATCATACTCAGTGGCAAGTACGACCTTTAAGGAATAAGAAGGCTCTCGGGCGCAAGATCAGCGGTATCGAACCAATGCCGGGAGAGGATAAGGTAACCTTCCTTAAATTTTCACTTATTTAAAGGAGATGGGCAGGGAGAATGCTAAGGCGCCCTCACTGAATGTGAAGGAACCGATTCGTATGCTGCATTCAATAATTTTATAACACAGATAACTTGACACAATAGATCCATTCTGGTGTGACAACAGTGACTTGACAAAGCGGTTTACTTTCACATTCTTATCTTTTTCCAAAACGAAATTGTTCCACACGCTACTTCGTGTCTTTTGTTCACTGTAAATCATCACCTAACGTTACTGCTTAAAGCTTTAATTTGTTTTTAATTTTATTACTTAGGTTCTTATCACATCAAACGATTCTCGGATAAGGCTTTATGATCTAAAGGACAACTCTCTCTACTGCAAGTACAAGGGCTGCGTTAATACCAGCAGTCAGATTAAAGCAGGTTTCAGGTAAGCGCTATAACCGAGTGATTCTAACCAATCACTATAGATGCACGCAATGGCATGAACCAATCAGCACTCACTTACATGCAGCCGGCTAAAAGAGCGGGGAAATGCGTGATATAACCGAGGGATTATTCTGACCAATCACAAATGACGCACACAACGGCATGAACCAATCAGGAGTCAACTACATGCAGCCGGCGAAGAGTGCGGGAAAAACGCGCGCAAGTAAGTCACAGTTACGATGAGGTTCACCTTTGACTGGCTTAAAGAGAGGCACGAGAAAGGGCAAAGAAATTCGTCACCTTTTCTCCCGTGCACTTTGGTTTCAGTCGTCACCTTTCGTACCCTCTCGGTACCACGAGTTTTTTCTCGCGGGCTGCAATTGAGTGCGGCGGAGATGATTCGGGTCGGCTGCACACCAAAAAGACTTGACCAAATCCGAGAACCGCGCATGAAAAGTCTTTGACACCCCACTTCTCGCTCTCCGTTGAAGTAATTCAGTGATTGTTTTATTTCAGTCACGACGGCCAGTACGTGATCAGTGGTTCAGAAGATCATTTTGTGTACATCTGGAGAACTCAACATGGAATTCAATCCGCTAGAAGAGATAAGAACGAGTTTTACGAGAGTTTCTCCGGTAAGGCAACATCTAAGAGCAATTTTTTTGTGTGGGCTGTTATGAAGACGAAATTTGGTTTCAACGGTGTATCGCATGAATAAAATTCGAAGTGGTTTGATTTTTGTTGTTTTTGTTGTTATTTTCTCGAAAATTTCGCTTAAAACACGTTACTGCCGACCATAACGTTTATGAATAGACAAATCCAGTTGAATAGTCGTGATTAATCGTGGAATTCTCCTTACAACTGGTACTGGTCTGGCCGGCTAGTTGTAACAAATGGAAAGTGCCTTGGAAACCGTTTTTGCCCATATTCACATTTCTTCATATCTGATCCGACATTTGTTCTCTTTGTACCCAAGCTCACGCGGTTGTGGTGACGGCAGCAATGTTCGCTCCAGTCCCCTGGCTAATTATCCCGCCAGATTCAAGCTGTCAGCCTTTCACTACAGAAGTACTGGTGACCGCTGACTGGAGTGGCGCCCTCAAACTTTTCGTCAACAGATGACACTCGGCTGTCTCTCGTGTGGTCTTCCCGCCTCGACACTCCTCGATACGATCATCGTGTTGAGTGGAACCACGATAAACTACTATAACTAACCCCGTGGGTACTCAAGAAAGTTTTATACGGGAAGGCTCCGCCGCGAGGTCCAACCTCTTACCCTTTCACATACCCAGTTTAGAACTTTGCATCCGTTTTAACTGCTAATCAGCCCACGCGAGAAATGCGAGACTCGGCGTTTCGCTCGCTCTACTATCCCAGAGGAAAAATGGGGACTACTCGTAGTCTATTCATATACCTGAAGCCTGAAAAAATACTCCTTTCGGACGGAGCTTCCCCATATAGACCATTAAAGGGAGTACCCCACGGGTAACTAACGGTATTCTTGAAGAAGTAGCATATCAAACACCGAGAAAAATGTTAACAATACGAGGCGTAACCGAGGGTTTTTTTTTTTTACGAACTTTGGGCCGTTTCATATTGTGATGAATCGTTGTATTGAGTGCTTGATTTTACTTCTCAAGGATGTCGAGACGATAATACGGAAAACAGGCTTAATGTGTTCTTGGCTTTGAGTGTGAGTGAAGACAGTGAAGTATGACCATTCAAAGGAAGGCAAATGTGCAGTATTAGTGTATGTGAAATACGACATTATGGAGCTTATGCAACGGCGGCCGAAGCGGCAGAAAAAACGTCGCGAGTAAAATGATTCAGTGAATTCGCGTTCTTTCAAATTCCAATTTGCTATATCTGTCAAATGTATCTGAATTTTACTGGAGTTGAAGTCCTTCGGGGATCGCACCCAAATTAAGAAAAGTGAAACAAAACAATTGTTCTCCATGCGTTTACGTCGTTGATAAAAGGTTAGATTTCAGAACTTCACGTCGTAGTCTCTCAGAGAGCAAGAAAGAAATCTGCCAAAAAAAAGTGATGCACGTGATGCTTTTTTGACGTTCTCTTTGGCAGCGCCGTCGCCGTTGCTAAAGCTCCCTCGAGTAACTGTTGGAACGAACGATGTTCAGTAGTGTACATAGTCAAACAAGGCGCCGGCTGCCTTTGGAACTGGTTTTGAGGGGGATACTGAGTTATCTCTGGGAGAACCATTACTGCCTAGTAGCTTTCATTTGATTGGCTGCGACTTACACGAACCAGTCGAAGTTTGAACACATTTCATTACGTATATGGTGGTTTGACGTTGTACGGCACTAACACCATTATCGCAATACAGTATCCCCCCCTGGTCAAGAACTAAAAAAAGAAACCCTTACCATATGTCTTGTCTTTTTGAAGACGTCCTGTCTTGGACGAGCCGGTTTTCTCGTCTCGAGGTCAGCGTATAAAAAATGCGGGCATTTTTGCGATGATTTGACAGGGACATTTTTAACGTCATGGGCTTTAACGCAGCCGTGTTAGGTCGATGCCAGGCTTAACGGCGTCTCGACCCCATTCACTTCATATCGAGACTGGGCATTTGGTAAGTGGTAATGAACTCGTAGCTCGCAGGATCAAAATCGTAAAATGCTGTCAGAATTGATCCCGTGCTCTGCTTGCTTATAGGAGGATCGGCCCTGGCTTAATTGCCAGATTTTAGAAACGGCCGTAAGTATTCTCTGAGGTAAAATCTTCCCTGAGTAAACGGTTTTAAAGTCAGCATTGAAGCTAAGCGTTTTTCTCTTGTTGAAATCTCAATTAGCGTTGCGTGAGGCGTAAGGACATAAATAATTACGGGGGGAGGGGGGCTGGGAGAGGGGGAGTGTGCTGAGCAAAGAATTAACAAGCTCATGTAAAACTTAAGCTACTTTTTCAGGTTAAAATGGAGAGTCAAACTGCGAAAGACGCTGAAATCAATTACCTCATTTGCCCTTTAAGCAAGAATCCATGCTAAAGAAAGAAACTGACTATTGTGTCTACCATCGTCGTTGTCTTTAATTTACCCTGGGTACCAAAGGCTTTCTTTCTCGCGTGCGACGTGCGGCGAGTTGCTGGAAAACGCGCATGAAAAGCCTATGGCACCCAGGGTATCGTCGACGAAGCCGTCATTTTTTTTTGTCATGCAACGCTCCTCCCCAAGTGAGGGCTTTTCCGGTAGCGGTACCCTCAGTCCTTGCTTTTGTACTCTGCTTTCTTGCGAACGCTTGCTACTGACTCGTGAGGTATGTAGGGGTCTATATATAATTCTGTGAATTAAATTATGAAATGTGGTGTAAAGAATCTTGATTGACGCTTTGAAAATGTTTCATCTCAAAGTTTAACTCACAGCTCTTAGAAGTGATTTGTTGGGTTTTTCCGACTAAGTTGCTAAGGGAAATAACGTTGTTGAATTTCTGAGAATTCATAGAGTCGCAGAAGCCTTGAGGGTCTTTAAAATCTTGTCGGATATAAATAAAATATCACGATATATGAAGTAACAGGTGTAATAAATTTATGCTTCCTTTAGAATGCAAGGGTCAGTTTTACGTAGTAAATATATACAACAGAGGCCTACCATAGGGGGCGTAAATAAGCTAACAAGCTCTCGGGGGCATAAACATGCCAACTATGCAAATGACATCGACGCGAACCACTGTACCTGTTAGAAGCCATGCCGGAAAGAGCCCTCCGCTCAAAAAGTAAACCGTTTGTCGTAACACGGCCAAAACATTTAGGGCCGGTTATTTAAATGGAGTTTAGCCAGTGTTAACCAAAACTGTGTTCTAAGCCATTTTCAGTTTGCTAAGCACATACCTAAACACCAATTATTGTGAACAGTTTCTTGGCAGAATCAGGGCGGACTGAAAGACGGGAAACAGTTTTCTTTAAATACTAACCCACTTAAAAAGAGATCAGATCTGGAGGTCCGATGATTTCTTAAACTGCGGCCATTTTAGACTTTGCTTAAATAACTGACCGTTAGGAGTACACTACGAGTAGTCGCCATTTTTCTTCAGGGATCATGTACGAGCGAAACGCGAACGCGCGTGAAAATCACCCCACGCGAGAAAGGCGAAACGTAAGGTGATTTTCACGCGCGCTCGCGCGCTTCGCTTGCCTTACCATCCATCCTACTCGTGGTCTATTATAGGCGTTTTCTCAGCCAAAATCTGTCATATGGAGGGGGGACAATATATATGGAAGTATACAAAAGGGTGGGGAAATCCGTCTGTTTTTAATTAAAACCCGGGCACTCCACATTCTAAGGCCTTTTCACCCGAGTGAATATAGCGAGCTGCAAGGCGGCTGAAATTCAGGCTACGTTGAGAACCAAGTGTTTGCAAAAGGGACAAAGTTTTCGTGAGTAGGCAGAAAAAAAAGTACCAGATTCAGTCAGTGGGTGCGAAAGGTATTTGGTGGGCGTCACTTTTTTGTCGAATATGCAAATATATAACTGAGGGTAATGATGCATTTATTTGGGGGGAGCTACCCGAAACAAAATTTTTTACAACCCAAAAGTTACACTATTACCTTACTGAACTTTCTCACATTTAGGCCAAACGGTATAACATGCATCTAGGGCCTTTATTTCGATCTAATACGCTTGGATCAAAAGTTCAGTTACACTCAGTACCTCTATTAAATTTAGGGACATTTATTACATTTGAGGCCTCAACGACTGAACGACTTCCATCTTGCTTTTGCCGCACACTCGTTTGATCGAAGGCAGGCAAGTATCAAGACAAAAGAGAAATATTCTCTTTTGATCAAGATACATAAGTTGCCAGAATTGAACACACTACAAAAACGTTGTGGATCAAAAACTAAAATCTAGGGAAACCTGACCAAACCGAAAGGTTTTTACTTCGGATTCACGCATCTGCGTATAAACCACATCACAAAAATTGTCCGGATAAGTTACGAATCCGGAAAAATCACCTTTGTGCAAATTTAGCGCATAAGCCACGTATTTGCAGCCACCATCTCGAGACTCAAAAAATGCTCTCTCTTTTTTGCAACAATTGTAAATCACGGTTCGACCCGGTATCATATGGTTGTATTAAAAATTGTTATTCTCTTTACCTACCTATTTTAAGGGTAATCTGCATTCTGTTGACGAAACAGGACTTTCAAACTAGGCATACAGAAATCATCCCTCTTTCCTGGCAAAACGAAAATGCTATAATTATAGCTTCATGATAGCTTCAATCCGGACCTACGGTAGTGATCTGCTCGCTGCCTAACCTGAGATCATGCCCTTTTCTATTTATATTTAAAAAAGGCTTATTCGCACGTTAATACTTGCCCAGTCAACGAGCGCGCGAAACTGAAATCGTGACCCGCCAAAAATTGTTTAAAATCGAAATTAAGGTAATTTACTGCGTTTAAGCGGCTTCATCACTAGCCTTATTCTCAGACGTCCGAGGTCGTTCGCGGGAGGGAAGCGAAAGGGACCGCGAACGACCTCGGACGTCTGAGAATCAGGGTACTTCATCACCCGACTTCATGAAATAAGAAAGAGGGAGAGCAAGGAAATGAACATCTGGGACGCAGTATTTGGGGCTTCTAAAATCGTGTACAAACCCGGGGGAACTGCTTATGTTACCCATATTAGCCTGCTTGGCAGGCGCAAAGTGGGGAGGGGCAGAAAGGGAAAATCCTCCTATCTCCTAATGGCCTACCCCTTCGACGCCATGTAGGTATGTGCCACCCCAAACTAAGGGGGGGGGGTATGTTTTTTGCGCCGTTTTGGTCTGAAAACGGGCATAGACTTTGTGCCCATTTTGGTCTGAATTCGGTTATGGTTTTTGAGGGAACTGAAGGAGTGTATGAACGATCCAATTGAATAAGAAAGAAACTAGGAGAAATATGAGAATTCGAAATGGATTTAAAGAAACCTTTTTTGTTGCTCTAAGTAATGATGACATAATTATAGGTATGGATTTTAGAGGCCAGGTCTTAAAATGGATGTGAAAAATGAATTTTTTTGGTCTGAAAAAAAAAAAAACCGGGCGCCACACCCCCACCAAGAATTGCCAAGAGTACTTCAGTTTCAGAGCTGAAAAACGTTGTTTTCGCTATCCTCCTCTAGTGCCAGTTATGCTGTTTATCAGGCGGTCTTAAACTGTTCTGTAATGTTATTTCTTTTATGTGAATGTAAATTTGAAAGTTTGGATGGTCAGCATTTATAAAGGTCATCCAAGGGCAATGATGCAATTGAGGCCGTGCCAGGGACTTTCCAATGTAGTCTTCATGACGTACTACCTTTAGAAATATAACACCAAAACACATTGAACATCGGCCAGTATTGATTGTCCAGTCGTGGTGTGTGGATCTCGTGGTCATAATGGCAGAAAAAGTGCGGTTCGGAGCGGTCGACTTTACCGTTTTTGCCGTTATGTTACTGCTCTCTGCTATCATTGGAATTTATCATGCTTTTACCGGAGGAAGGCAGCGAACAACCAAGGAATTTTTGTTCGCAAATCGCGGGATGATGGGCATCCCCGTGGCCTTGTCACTACTTGCTTCATTCATGTCAGCGATTACTATTCTTGGCGTACCTTCAGAGATGTACATCTATGGAACACAGTATTGGCTTATCATTGCGTCGTATGTCATTCTTTTCCCTGCTGTGGCGCTGGTTTTTGTTCCTGTGTTTCGCGCAGTGGAGATTTCGAGTTCTTACGAGGTAGGATCAAGATGCAGTTGTACTGAGTTGTAATGACAGAGCGCCGCGGTTGTTGTTTTATGAAAGCAAACTCACTGATCTTGGTTACATGTCAAGGCGGCCTTTTATCAAAGATTTTCCCCTTTTTCCGTTTATTTACTACATGTACATTTCTTTTTTTTTTTTTACTTCTTATCTGTCGATAAACTTTTGACAGTTTTGCGAAGAGTTGTGCCTCAGCTGATTTGTAATCCACGTGGTTACGGGGGTTGGTTAATCATTGACCAAAGTCCACCTGTTATAGCAAGAGAGAGTTGAAAGAAAATATGAAAACTAACTGGAAGGGAAGCGTAAATCTGACTCTGATATTTGAGTACATATGAATTAGCATGGTTTCTGGAATAAAATTAAGATTTGCAGAAAACTTACTTGTAAGGGTGTTTACCAAAAGTCATGTAATACTGGTTAGTTAGACTAGTCATTTTGAAAATGAAATATTAGTTTTTTCTCAAAATTCTAGCCAAAACTTATCACTGCTGTGCATGTTATTTGAAGCCTCGCAATCAAGTCTGAATTATAATACCTCAAATTAATAGTGGAATCCTTTTTATGACTGCACTGGTGTGTTTGGCCAGTTCTGAGACTTCTGACAAAATTTAATGTTATAAGCTCCTTTAACACTACAATGATATTTTGTTTTGTTCTTCTAATACCCCAACCTAAAGTACTTGATTATGCAAAAATTTTCGTGGTTTGTGTAAATTGTACAGTTTGGCTCCTCCCCCCTTCCCCCTTCAATTTCAGGCAGGCTGAAACTTTGCATTTCATTGATTTCAAAAATACACGTACATTGTATCCAGTTTCAGTCATCTACATGTACATGAATTTGCAAATATTTCAGATAAAAAAACTCTGGAGAGAGCAGATTCCCTGGTTGGGTGGGGGCAAAAGGCTGATTGGGTATAAAAATCAAATATGCATGTGTTTTAAAAATATTCAGATTTATGTAGCCAGGGACTAAGACATAATGTTCTCATTTGAATTGTTTTGTTTATAGTACTTAGAGAAGAGATTTTCAAGTAAAGTTCGCATTCTGGGCAGCGTGTGTTTCATTATACAGACTGTAAGTATACCTTTTTATTCATTATCTTCATATATCTTTATATAAAACAATTTCAAGTTGTTGACAGATTCATGAACAATAGCCGTACTTGAAGCAAACAAATTTTTGTACATAATTGTTGTTTGTTGTATCTATTTTAAGGGAGTTGGGAATGAGGGCACAGGACCAGCAGAGTAGTTTTCAAAGTGGGGAGACCCATGACCACCTCTTTTGAAGGGTGGGGGGGGTGAGCGAGTGGACTCTAATAGTTTTATTATTATACCAACATTAAATTCTTTACCAACACTAATTGTAGTTACGAACAGCAAATTTATTTGCTACGTCAGCAAGGCAAATTTGTCTGCTCTCCTTTTGTAGCTGTTTAGAACTGTCAGATTACTGAACCTTTCTTTAGTGATTGTTGAGTAGAGCCATATTTTTAACTTTCAAGCCACTGAAAAGGACCTTTCTCCTGCCGCACCTACACTGACTGCATCTGCAGGATTTACCAGCAGAAGTTTGCAGATCATGATCGTAGAACTGAAGAAGTTCCTGTAACTTCTTCATTTTGTCTAGAATGTCATCGAAACATGTAATATCGCAACCATTGATCAAAACTTTAAATTTCCAGTCTGGCTTTTAAGTACATCAGAGACCACATCATTGGCCAGTTATCGGTTTAATGAACCGTAGTTCGGTGGAGTGGTCTTCAGATTTAATTAATCAAGAACTTTCATAAAACGCATCATTGCATATGTTGCATAGCCTTGCTGGTTTGAACATGAAGAGGTCTAGTGCAGTTTAGTAATGATAGGCAGTTTGAGACTTACTACGCATCAGATGTGGTGGCCTTCGTAGCTGGCAGGATTAGCAGGCGATTACTGTAGTGTTTGGCAGCCAAGCCACATGGAGATTGGGAGCTAGGGGAATTCCCTCGTGGCTTCACCACTCACGAAAGTCCGTTGTGGCGGCTCTGCTGCTAAGAAAGAAGCACAGGCACAACCATCCTGCCAGCTATGCAGGCTGCAGATATAGGATCAAAACGGTCCAATAATAAATTTAAATCCTCTTGTGAGGTCTGCTAGCTGAAGATTCTTATTCCAGCAAAGATACTTTTTATATAACAATGTATATTACTTGATTTTATTTATTCATGTTTCAAAAAGTGGGGGTACCTTGACCACCCAAGCCCCTCCCCCTGCATGGGCCCTGGGGTATTTTTACACTTTGAACATATGGTATCTGTTCTTTTTTTCAGTCCCTTTATATGGCCATTGTAGTTTATGGACCAGCAATAGCTTTAGAAGCAGGTAATTTTACAGTGACAAACATTTTATCGTTTTCTCTTTTTCAAAGTCACCTCTCGGCAAGGTAACACTATAAAAGCTTGGCCAGAATAAAAGACACTGTGCAACATACAAAAGTTGTTTTTATAAGTTAAATAGGGAACAAAAAATTACACTAGGTAATTGGCTGGAAATAAGGGTATTTGGAAGGAATGACACTCTTAAGAGAATGCCTGTTACAGTGTGACTACTATAACCTGGACCACTTGGACAATGTTTACCAATCGGATTACAGGAAAATAGCAATACATTCCAAGAAGGTTGGTTGAAGGCCAATCGGCAGCTAGTAAAAGAAAACAATAAGTTACTCAAAGCACAAAATTTAATAAACAATGGCAAATGTTTTTCAAGAATGCAAAATGTTTCACCAGACAATGTTCTATTCGAAACTTTACATATATGACATCCAGGAAACATAGAGGTCAAGTCTGTTTAATTCCGATCTATGTTGGTTATTTTGTTTCGTGGTAATTATGATTGACAACTGACTTTCTCAGAACATATTGTTATTTTCCCGTAATCCGAATGCTCAACTTTGTCTAATTCTACATGTAGGTGGCCCTGGTTATAGTAGTCTTACTGTAATAATGTAAGTACTCTATACTTGTGGCAGTTTACACAGTTCAACACACATATGAGTTTGAATTCTTACTTTCACCGTCGTTTCAATTATATTATTTCATTTCATAATGTCACCAGATATAATATTTATGGTGCTTGCAGAACTGCCATTACTCAGTAAAAAATGGTTATGCATTTTGTTTTGTTCTCAGTGACGGGATTTCCAGTTTGGGTGTCTATAGTCTCCATTGGTATTGTGTGTACATTTTACACAACCATAGTAAGTAACTGTTTTTGTTTGATTGCAAGGTCCTCATAGTGATTTATATCTCTTTACAAACTGGTTTTCACAACTAGTGTTCAAAAGATTTCACTTGATGCTCAGAAATTAATATATTATTATTCTCAGCTAAAGAGCTCAAGGGAAAGCGTGTTGTCACTGATCACCTTTGGTGTTAATTATCATTTATTCTCATGAAGTGTTTTGAATCACTTGGTTCTTGCATTTCTGTTAACATCAATCAATCAATTTATTTTTGTACTTTGTTTTACTTGAGTTAAACTCTCTTTTCTTTTCTTTTTCCAAGGGAGGTATAAGAGCTGTGATATGGAATGATGTGTTTCAAGCCATTGTAATGTTAGGTGGTCTTGTGGCAGTGCTTATTGTAGGAGTACAGAAAGTTGGTGGGTTTGGAAATGTCTGGGACCGTTTAGACAAGGGACAGAGACTTCATTTCATAGAGTAAGTTTACAAAATGATACACGTAGATGAATTATGAGTAGTAAAAGACCCTGGTCCTTTGGAGGATCTGTGATAACTCAAATGAATGCTACTGCATTTACATGTAGTTCATTCTTGTTGCTTTTGTTTTAATCATGACATTAAGTGTAAATAAATTGTAATCATGAGTTGCAACATCAGTGTAATTACATCATGTACCACCATGATATTCTTATATTGTTATTCCAAATAATCATAGTAATAATATATGCCAAAAAATTACCCAATTCTGATTGGCTGAGAAAAGAGAGCGGTTCTTCTGTAACACGAGTGAAAACTTGTACAGTGTAACACAAGGCTGGTGACCATATAAAAATTAATCAATCCTTGCACATTTCCAAGTTCTTAGCTGAATGATTTTGAAAGTGTTGGTCTTGAATTTGAATTTGACAAAGGTAGTAGTCTGTTTCAGCCAATCAGTTGAATCAGGGTTCTCAATAGATTTTTAAGTAGGAGGTGATCACTGATAAAGTAGGAGGCTCTTCAGCAAAGCCAGAGGTGTCAAAACAAAGCAAAGAAAAGCGACTTAAACACAAAGTAAGCGGTTATAAATCCCAAAGTAAGCGGCGATCAATCGCCGGGTGCCGCCTTCTATTGAGAACCCTGTTGAATGAACTAAAAATGCGCGCGCTGTCAAAATTATTTTGTTGTTTTAGTTATGTTTTTCGTGTATATTATAAATAAGTAATTACATGATTTTTCTCGTGCAATTTGGAATAAATAAGCACTTGTAAATTTCTCAAAAACCACAAAGTGCACTCGCCTTACGGGCTCGTGCACTTTTGTTGTTTTTTTGTTTACTCGTGCTTATTTATTCCAAATTGCACTCGAAATCACATGATTACGTTTACTAATTGTATAACTATGTGCAACTGAAGGTGATCATAGATCGATTGAAACAGGTCTTGCTTTATAGCCAAAGTTGTGGTTCATTCTTGCGAATTTAATAGTACCATGTACCAGTAATTTACGGGAAGTTAAGTGCTTGTTTTCGCATACTGTAGCTGAAGTGAGTATTTTTTTTCCCTGGCCTTTGAACAGTCTTAACCCAGATCCAACTCAGCGCCTATCAATATGGACTTTGGTCATTGGTGGAGCATTTGGTTTGTTTCCACTCTGGGCTGTCAATCAAACAGCTGTTCAGCGATTCTTGGCAGCCAAGTCCAATAAACAAGCCAATATGTAAGTCAATTTAAATTTTACAGGCAAATAATCTACATTATTCTTCATTGTTGTTCCCACTCTCTGTCTTCCATTAATAAAACAATATTATTATTCTTGATCAATAACGATTTCGTGAAACATAAGCAAGCGAATATTAACGTTAAAAGCCGACGTTTCAGTATCATGATGATACTACCTGAGAAATTTCTGCAATTTGATTAGCTAAGAGCAGTGGTATTTCAGCTTAATTTGAAATACCTACAAGTGAAAATTGCAAACCTTTCGTGGGTAGTAGTATAAACAAATAATAGCATGATTTGTACATGATATTTGGCATAAATACCACTTGTGATATTTCAAAATTGTCTCAAATTTCACTCCCCTAACGGCTCATGAAATTACGTGTAACAGTTTTGAAATATCACTTGAGGTATTTATGCCAAATACATGTATCACTACAAATCATGCTACTACCTATACTAATATTCGCTTGCTAATATTATTATTAGATTTGGTTTTTGATATCTGGAGTAATATTAAGGTCTCAGTAATTGTTAGCTTACAATCATAGACAATAGTCCTGGGACAAAATAATTTTCATTCATGGGACTTTCTTTAAATCACACTTTCCCATCCAATGGCAACTGTTGTGAAGATCTCTTGCAGCTTAGGCATTCTCAACTTGACAAGAACTCTTTTTGTCTCCGTTTCTCCACTTTTCTGTTTTTAGGCTTTCACTTGCTTAATCCAAAATAATCTCACAAATATTTTCAAAATCGTGCACTATGTTAAACAAATCAAAGAAATCAAGTTTCCTGTGACGTCATCCATGTATCGATCTGCACTCTAACAGATCATAAGCAATGACCAATCACAGCACACATAACATTCACATCATTGTATAATTAACAATTATTCCACGAGGGCACGTTGGATATGAGATGATAGATAGCCAACGAGGCGCATAGTGCCGAGTTGGCTATAATCATTTCATATCCAACAAGCCCGAGTGGAATAATTGTTTTATTAAAAACGCCCACAAAATCTCGTTGAATCGCCCCGACTAGAACAAATCGGAAAAGACAAGGGACTTCCGCTATTCACATGTCACACGTCTATCAAAACTGTCAACGCGCGAACGGACTCGCTTAGACTGCATGAATGAAAATCAAAACATTGTAGCGATGAACATTAGTTTTCGTGATTCTAGGATTTTACACAGCAGAACAGCTTAAAAAACCTGGCAGATAATGTGAAGGAAAGGAATTTTTAAGTGACAGCCGTCGAAATTACTATGAATTTGGATTTTCGGTGCAGTTATAAAAGTAAGAACAACGGAGAAAAACTACCGGGATTACCTTGGTCGCTTGTTATGAAGTTGTTTGAAACCACAAGCTGGTTTTGCTGAACGAGAAAAGAAGCTATACTACCGCCTCGATTGCTCTAGTGAATGGCTGCATAGCCTGTATTTGTAGCTCGTTACTTGTGATTTATATTCTTGATGTCGGATAAACAAGCTGCAGTTATCTATCGGCGAGTGACTCGATCGGCGAATGGCTTCGCGATCGTGAAGAAACAATTAACACTTGTCTTCTTTCGTAGCTGGTCAAGGTACTTTAGTTCCATGTGTTTTCATGTGTTTTTCGACAAACTTTCAAACAAGCTCTTGTGGCTTTTTTGTTTGTTTTTGTCTTTTTTCTTTCGTTGAAATTGCATTTCTAGTATTCTAAGAAATGAATTAAAACGATTTGCTTCGGGCGCCGTTCTGTCCTTCGCGAAAAAAAATCTCAGCTAGCTTCCAATTTTAAACTGACGCGTACACCAACCATATATGGAGAACATGGTATATTAGCTCATATACCATAACGGCTAAGCCAATCAAAATGCTAGAATTGCATTATCCAATGATTCAGTTTTTAATAATACATAATAGACCCTAATTTGCCTTTTCCTGATTGCATTATTTTTTCATTCTTATTACAGAGCTGTATGGATTAACCTGCCTCTTAGCATCTTTGCTGTTTCCCTTTGTGCACTTTGTGGATGTGTCATTTATGCATTTTATGCAGACTGTGATCCTATTGCAAATGATCAAATCAAGAAAGCTGATCAGGTAGTTCTCATTTTCTGCTTTGTTTTGTTTCTCTTAATCTATGTTTGTTTGTCAGATTGTTATAGTTGTTTTTTTTAGTTAGTTAATAACACTTTTTATCAGTAAGGTTGTTCCATTTATTTACGTTACCTACATGTATTCCACAGATCCTGCCATATTTTGTGATGAATGTCTTAGGATCACTGTATGGTGTACCTGGTTTATTTATGGCTTGTCTCTTTAGTGGCACACTCAGGTATATACATTAGTAGTCAGGGGTTTGAATAAAAATTGAAGTAGCCAGCGGGTTTGCAAAAAGTAGCCAACGGTATCAAAAAGAGTCTTTCACTCCCCTTCTTCTGGAGGGGTCTGGAGGCATGTACCCCTAGAAAATTTCGAAATTTCAATGTCCTAAAAATGTGATTTCCAGCATAATTTCTGGGCACTAAATTGAGTACAAAATAAAGATAATGTATTTTCGAATAATTTGGACAAGTAATGCACATAAGTCCCTGACCTTTTCTTAAATATTTTAAATCAAAAGCAAAAAGTCTGTCTAGGTCCAGCAAATTGAAATTTAATTTAAGTTTTGACAGAATCTTTCTTTAATTTAATACTTTATCTCAAGCGTCCAATTTAGGGAAAAGGTAGCCTACTTCTCGGAGCAAAGTAGCCGATGTGTTTTGTCGGTCGTTGTTGCTTATTGAAACCCCTGAGTAATGTACATGTATAGTGTTATTGCACAGTATAAATTAGACATCTGAGTCCATATCCTAGAACTGATGTCATCATTTACTATTTTACTAAGAGGCAAAGTGGGAGTGAATTTATTCCTGGACTTGCAATATTCTCCTAGAGATCCATGACCCACTGTTTAATGTAGATGACAAGGGGTGTAAACTTCAGAGTTCTTTTCCACACTTTTTACGCTTACTGGGGTTAACAAATTTGGTTATACCAAGGACTCTGTTTGCTATAGAGATTTGTTGCATCAAAGTTCCACTGCAGAAGATTTTTGTTACAGTTTGTAACATCCAAAAACTTAAAGGTACTTTAATGCTGTACAATCTCAGTCATTGAGTTTACATAATTAAGTTTGAAACATATTAATTATTTATTGTGCTTTTACGCCCAGTTAATTATTTTTGGTTTACTGTTTTGCTGTACAGCACAGTGTCTTCTGGACTGAATTCATTAGCAGCCGTTGTACTGGAAGACTTTATCAAGCCTTGGTGTAGATATAAAAAGAAGGAGCTTTCTGAGATGCATGCTACATTTTACTCAAAATTATTAGGTCAGTTTACTTAATTTTGACTCCGTTGCTTTCTGTATTGAGAACTTCAAACTGAAAATTAATACCTTGCCACAAGTCATGTGATCCAACGATAACTGGCCTTGCAGTCCAAGAGTTCTTAGTACATTGCTCAGAGATTTGTGCATCCAATTGCAATTCTGAGAAACCATGGTTGTGGATCATATCGGTAGTATAATCAAGTACTCAGATTCTGTCCCATTCAATAGGTGTGCTATCTTTCTCACATCATCATCATAATCATTGCTAACCAGCTACATTGAAAGCTCATACATGTACATGGATCTTTTTAATCACCTGCAAGTACATGTCTGTATGTGCACTGGTATACACAGTTATTGTTAGTGGTGTAACGATTAATTGAATTCTCGATTAATCACTATATGACCGTTCGGTTTGATTCATGATTCTTTGCATTCATGTTTCAATTTTGGTTCGATATTTGCACACCTTTTCCAGGGTGCCCTTAGTGAGTTAATATATTGTAAAATCGGAATCCTGAATGCTTTAAATTGTGCGTTCATGATTGACGAGCAAAGACGATAGCATTTCGTGCACCATTTTGTGTTGCCTGGTAAAAATGCTGTCCTTCAACCACCCCTTGAGAATTTCCAAATAAGGCAAACTATCTGCGACACACTCTTTGTCAGGTTCTCAAAAATGGCGACGAACCAAGTGACTGTGAATCCTCCTGTCCCTGCTACTATTCTCAAATTGAGGGTTTAGGGTTGCATGTTGTTTACATTACACGTTATGTTATAAGAATTAAGAAAAATTTACATAATCGAATTGAAATAATCGACTAAATCGAAAGGCAATAATCGAAATCGAATCAAACCGCAAGGAATATGAATCGTTACACCCTTAGTCATTGTAACCTGTGCTAGTACTTTTTCCAGTGATGTTTTGTGTTTTCATTTGCAGCATTAGGATTTGGTGTATTGACAGTCGCTCTTTCATTTCTTGCCACTCAGCTTGGTGCAATTTTACAGGTTTGTTGCCTCTAGAAATTGAAATTTATATTATCAAATTAATATTAATTTTATTACTTGATAGTTTTTAACAGCTTAGAAGCTGTGCAGGAGGACAGGGTGAAAGGAAAAAAACCTAAAAATCTTCAATTTAAGCTGCTAAATTCTTCAGAAAGTTTCAAAAATAATGTAGAACTATATAGGTGTTTTACTGAGAGGTTTTTGTCACATTTTCAGCTCTTTAAGAAGCTGTGTTTGTTTGTTTTGTTTTGCAAATAGTTTCTTAATACTACAGTGGAACCTCGTTGGTCACCAATGGGACAAATAAAATTTGGCCGGTTTAACAGGGTGGCTGTATTAACAAGGGTTTTTTTACAAGGAAATGCATGGTGGTTTTTGCCAGGTGGCCAAAAAAAAGTGGTAGTAATAACAAGTTGACCATATTACTGAGGTGGCCTTAAGGCGGGATTTTACTGTATTATTGTTAACATCTTGACTAGTAACCAGAAAATCATAGGTTCGACTCCTAGTGGGATTACTTGGACAGTATTCAATTTAGGCTGCATTTTTGCGTCACTGACGCGGAATATTCTGTTCTGACCCAAAATGAAAATCATGGAGTCATGCTGACGCAAAAAAGTTACTTCCTGAATATATAAGTACTTCCAAAGCAGCAGGTAACAATAGAAGTAAATTTTAAGAAAAGTTGTGTATACTAGCGTGAAATGAGCACACAGAATGACTGTCATTCAATTTCAGACTTCATGCTTACAATAAGTTTTTACGTCAGGCATTCCATGCAATTCTGAGAGAGACCGAAGCGTACGTATGGACTCGCTGCATACATTGCTTTGCCGATGAATTCGCCTTCGTTTGTTGACTTTGTTCTTTTGTTTTTGTTCCATTATGAAACAACAACAAAAGTTACTGCGTAAGTTCATTTTTCACAAGAAAGAGAATGGCAGTTGAATATAAAAAGCATGAAGATGTCCATTAGAGTTTTTCAAAGTTTCAATATCATAGTTTGACCTACTCCATTTTGGAAATGACCCAATTTAAAATGCCATGTGGGACATATGACCCACTTTGACCAATTTCTATACTGAACACTGCTTGGAGTTTTTCTTCTGAGCCACCTGTGTCACTGACTGAAATATCATCTTTCTCAAATTTTGTTGTTATTTTGGATTGTCCAGGTCAAGTATCCTCCCCGTTACCAGTAAATTGTCATGTTTATGTCTGGATTTTCTTTCTTTTCAGTTGTTCTACAGCGTGTTTGGTGTTGTCGGAGGTCCTGTTGTTGGAGTATTTTGCCTTGGAATTTTCACTCGGCGAGCTCATGCAAGGGTATCCGTTGCTCTTATAATTAATTCTTGCCATGTAATCTCCATGTATCTTCCTAGTAGACGAGAGTAGATATTGCGTAGGTGTTGTCAAAGTTAGCAGGGATTTGACTGTGCAAACATTGTTTGTGTATTTTTTATGTTATTATAATATATTATTCATTATTTTATTTTTCACATGCAGGGTGTTTACATAGGTTGGTTACTTGGCTTTGCTGTAGGTCTGTGGATTGGTATTGGTGCCAAAGTGTACCCTCCACCAGTGACTAAACCCCCTTTATCCACTGCTGGCTGTACAACCACACCCACAAACAGCACCATCCCAACAACAATTGCAGTAAACACAACAAGGTAACAACAATCAAACCCTGCTTAACCCTTTAAGTACCAATAGTGACCAACATCAATTTTCTCCCAATGATATCCGTACATTGTCAAGAGACTAGGTTATGAGAATTAATAAAATGATCACCTAAGAGAAAATCGCTTGATCTTTTATCAAATTCTCTCAACTTATTCTTTAAGGAAATGTATAGAGATCAGTTTGGAGAATTTGTATGTGGATATTGGGGCTTAAAGGGTTAATACAGACACTTCTTTATTATGGACAGTTAGCTTTGTTCACGGAGAAGTAGACTGCTTGCAGTCCACCTTTTCTCTTAAAATCCGTCTAGTTCTTAAATCATCCAGCGCGATAGCAAACCACGATGTTGTTATTACAATAAGGGATTTATTTTTCTTCTCGGGCTCAAGGCTGTGCTCTGAGGAAAATTAAAGGGAGCCCAATGCTCTCAACTTGTGAAATCCAGTGTGCCCAGCATATGATTTCTATGAAAAAGCAAAGATTTTCTAGTCGCCCGAGAACAAAAGTAACTTTGTAAAGAAAAATAGACTGCTTGCAGTCTACGGAGAAGAGAAAGCCCCTACATTTTCGCTAAATTTTCAACCTTCTTAATATGGACACTCCATTAACACAGACACAATCTATGGCCCAGCTCAGTGTCCATATTTGAGAACTTTAGATTTGAGGACGAGAACGAGTACGAGTACGAGATTTAACCCTTTAAGTCCCAATAGTGCTCAAAATCAATTTTCTCCTAACAATATCCATAGACTATCATGAGCAAAGTCTATGAGAATTAACAAAATAATCACAAAGAGAAAAATATTTGATCTTTTACCAAATTCTCTCAACTTATTCTTCAAGGAAATGTATGGAGATCAGTTTGGAGAATTTGTATGTAGATATTGGGACTTAAAGGGTCAACTTAAAGCAGGAAAATTTTACTTTCTCGTCTTCCCCACTATCTGCTGAGAGCTTGGAACAGGCTAATCACCCTCCTGTTTAAAGTTTTTGCGCGTTTTCCAAAAAAAAAGACACCCCGGAAGGCTTCATTTTCCCTTTTTTCTCCGTTCTTTTAGCCTTGATGAAACGAAACAAGCACGTGAAAAGAGTATTATATCTTGTTCATTAAGATGTTAGGATGTTGCTGAGCATGATAAAATTTCGGGCGAGATGACTTTCAGGCGACTTGACCGTAAAGCTGAAATAATGCCCGGCAGGCTCTTTAGTAACAGCTGCAGGTTGCAGTCCATTCGTTCGTGTTTCCCATAACCATTAGTCTGTTACACAGCCGTTTTTAGTGTCGTCACGCAACGCTCCTAGTGGGGAGTAGCGTAGCGTGACGACACTAAAAACGGCTGTGTAGCAGACTACATAACCGTAGGCAAGGGTGTAAAATACGTAGGTTCAGCGCATGTTAAAAATAACTTCGTAACAAAGCGAGGACATTTACGTTCTATTACGTTTTCGTTATTGAAAAGACGTCCGAGTTGTTCTTTACCACGCGATAGTGCCTCAGGAAGTCTTGTAAGGCGGATTTAACTTTTAAATCTGTGGTCAAACTTCTTTGGTGTGACCATTCTAGTGAAACCTCTCAGGCTGCCCTTTACATGGAGCTATTGTTTTTGTCAACATTTTGCCAAAATTTGGTTGAAGTTTTAAAAGTGAAAGCGTTAAGCAGTAATACCTCTGACTCGACTGTTGAGATAAAGAAAGGCAACAAAAACAAATGGCTGTCACAATCCCTTTCAATATAAGTAGAGAGCTTGGGGTCAATTCAGTTGAGCTTTCCCAAGGTTAGACCCATGCGTAGTAAAAACATCAAGTTGTAACACATGTCACATATTCTTGTCTATTTTGATACCACTAGTGCTTCGCCAGCTCCAGAGTATGAAGGGCTTGTATTGTACAGAATATCCTGGTTGTGGTACAGTGCTGTGTGTTTTGGTGTCACCTACGTTGTTGGACTCATCGTCAGCGTCCTGTGGCGAGGTAAGTATGAGTGACGCTAGGCCTCTAGCAAGACGCTAATCGCGTCGCGCGCTTCGCGATTTTTATCAGCCTTGACTCGTTTCTGGTTGCACGCTGGATGCCATTGGATTTTATTCCAAGTTAGGAAAAAGGAGGGCTGAGAAATTAGTCGTTGTCCGATTATACTACATTGTATCAAAGACATTAAAAATGAAAATATGAAAAAAATTATCGAGGCAAGCAAGACCAGAAGCACTGACAAAAAATTCCCCAGGGGGGTAAATCGAAACAATACACTTTACACTTTGACTCTGAAGATGACTATCGCACAGGTTGTCGAAACGTCAGTCACTGTCAACAACTGTCCTATTCAGGACTATGTTCATTCCGACGATCATATTCCAGCTACTTTTGAAACGACTCCTGGGTTCCAACCTTTCACTGTTGTTACAGTAAGCTAGTGTTGACTGTTCACAGGTGATCACCAATGTGATGAGGTTGATTCGCGACTGCTATTCAAAATAAGATACTGCTTACCGGACTTTGCATCGAAGAGACCGCGAAGAACACAGGAAGACCAACAACGTCTGGATGGCGAAGAGGTAAGTTACTTCTTTTGAGAAAGATAATTTTCAGTCAGTGAAACAGGCGGCTCGGAGGAAAAAATCCAAGTATTTCCAATAGGAGTCAAACCTATAGACCCCTTCATGGTTGTGAGGGCATGCTGGGTAATCAGGACAGGATGGCGGGAAAGTCAGCAGTTAGCATGGGAATTCAAAGTCAACTAATTCTTCCTTATTGAATATATTCGTCACTTTCTCCTTGCAAACTTTAACTAATGAACTTAAAGAAACTATACACTAAACGTGGAGAGCACAGCGGTCGTTTGTCGCTTTTTAGAAAATTTGACTCAGGCTACTTTTCGCACGACATTTCACACAGCGAAAATGCAGCCTCAGCTCGCAGGGTACTAGTGCAGATGCTCTACCACTCAACGCTACAGGAGAATCGAGGGAGCGAAGGTCACTAAACTAAGTTCTTGTGACAAACAGTAATTTCTTTTGTTCGGGCGGCGATAGTCTTAATCAAGTAACCCAACGCAAATTAGAAAGGGCCAACTTCTTTGTTTCTAAAACTTCTCGGTGGGTTTGTTTTAAATTGTCACACTTAAAAGCTTCAAGGCCTCTGTATTGGAGCGAAGTTGCACCGCGCCGATCTTCACATATCGGATAGGTTTTTGCCACTCTTCCTCGCAGTGTGAACGGGTATTCGGACCGCAGCGCAAGTAAATGAGTAAGAGTGAGGACTGGAAACTACTGAGAGGGCAGTAAATATTGAGGAGTGAGAACTGGGATTTAGCGCACCAGACCCTCTCGGCCAACCGTTCGGTAATGTTGGATGTGTTTGAACGACTTGTTCCAGTCCTAGACCATTACTAGTGAGTTTACGCAGCAGGACGGCGGAAAGAAGAGGACGACAAAACGCTTATCTGTGACAAACGTGACACGGGTATTACTTGCGTGTTTTGTCGTGATTTTCACTTAAAGTTAAAGTTTTTGGGGCTTACAGAAATATCTATTTAAAGGAAAGTGAAGTTTAGCGAAAAGTTATTTAAAAACAAAATTATTCTCAAGGTTGTCACACAAGCCTTTCCATCTTCTTTCCTCTCCCGTTCTGTTGCGTAAGTTCACTACTGTTCGTACTTTACTGGATAGCTTTTCATGTCGGCACCAAAAGCCATCCGATATAGTTTCGATGTAGCCTAAAATATATACCTTCTCTTCCGCCACAGAAGCCTGAAAGCAAAGGAGCAGAGAGTGACAAGGACGTAAAATGGAAAACAGGAACAGAAGATGATCCTTTACTCGTGACCACGTCCTTTTGATGAAGTTAGTCATGCTTACACCGTCAGAAAAGTCAGTTTTCTTTGTTAGTAACATAAAGTAAAATTTCATTCACTCTTACGCAAACTGCATTGAGGGGTAAAACACTCTAACATCTGAAAATTTATGGAACCGAATTTACTAAAGGGAAATATTATAGTAGTAATTGTCTGATTAAGTGATAAGTTAACGACAGGCAAGTGAAGCTCGATCATACCATCCAGCCACTGATCACTGTCGGAGAAGTTTCCGTCTTAAAGGTCTTTATGGTTGTTATATAAACAAGCGTGTATGCCTTACATGATTTAAATGTTGTTACAAGTGGTGGCTAATAGATTTATTCTAGAACATAGGAGAGCCGTAACCGTCCCCTAACGCGTTCCCAAACAGGTCTGTGGATATATTTGTAAATTTGTATCCATGTTCTGGTTTGTGACCCAGGATATCGAGGGGGGAAGGGGGGATAGGGGCGTAGCACGCAGAGAGGCAGATCTTACTGCCCAGACTCGCACCCAGTCGCTATTTATGTGTTTTGGGGGTGAGAGAAGATTGGGGATTAGGTTGAGGCGCGCGGGGTCTCATAGGAAGGTACAGCTATTTTCCCTTCGTATTTTTCCTTCATACCTTCCTATGAGACCTCGCGCGCCTCAACCTAACCCCCAATCTTCTCTCACCCCAAAAACGCATAAATAGCGACTGGGTACGAGTCTGCTTACTGCCCGCTAGGGTGTTCGACCATCAGTACCGATTGGCGGTAGCTTAGTGCTAAATTTTAACCCGGGTTTCTTTTTCTTTTGTTCAAAAGCATTTTCTCGGATAATTTTCTCTATTTTTTTACAGCATCCAATCACAGAAATTGTAAGCAAAGTGAATTAACCTGACTTTTCTTTTAAAACTTTCATATCTGAATTCAAATTTCGCACAAACCCTAGGATATCTTAACCCAGCTTAAACAACCCAGATAAATCGCTGTCCACTTAATAAGTTATCAGGGAAACCACAGCTGAGTTTACCAATGGTTAGAGATTTTTGCAGTGCATCGCGCTCTCTACCTTTGTAACAACTTGGGTCAGAAATATTTCTACCCGGTCGACTTTATGGTCTGGAATAGGTTGTAATTCTATTTATTAATCTCTTTTGATATTTATTGCAAATATATCTTGAAATAAATCTAAACTTAAAATGAGAAGTCACTTCGTGTACTTGTATTATTTAGGCGACAAAGATAAAGTACGGAAAGCAGCGATTAAGTCCCAAAACTCTGTGCGCACAACTTAATACTTAGTGGACGCAAAACGTTAGGCTTGTCTTGGGAATGAGGCTATTCGCCATTTGCACATCTCCAAGAATACACCTCGTTTGCCCCCAAAGTTTTACGTAACTATTGTTTACTCCTTGGGATTACAGCGGTCCAAGGGAAATTGAAAGCAATGCTCATGCAAAACAAGGTGTATTATGGGAGATGTGCAAATGGTTAATTTCTCTCTTGCAATAGACCTCTTTATCTTGTGTGTTTTGTTTTCCCAATAGAGGTCCCAGGGGAACTTCACCAGATATGCGCAGATATGCACGTGAATTAGATGAAATTTGAAAGGAACAGTTCTCAAGGGTATTATCACGTGACCTGTATTGGGAAATAAAACTTGCGAGCTAAAAAGGTCTATTTTAATCGATATGAACCATTTTTTTTAATTAAAAACGTACTTTAAAGCACACCGTTGTATTTTTCGATGTTCTCAATGTTCATTCAGGTGCTTGGGATATTTGAATTGTGTATTTACTTAATGGATTACCCAATAACTTTTTTTACAAAGTGTGAAGGAGATTGTTTGAATTAAATAAAAGCCATATTTGTCGTTCAAAAAAGGACTTTGTTTCTGTTGAAGTCAGCTGTCACAGCGTGCAAATAACCAAATTTGACCGGCATGGAAAGATCAAACAAGATGTAAAATAATTGGCCTGGCCAACGATAGCCTTCACTTTCAATAATTTACTGTGTCGCCTACTCTCGTCGTGTGCACGTCACGCGAGACCAAATTTTCGATGACACAAAGGAGCATGGGAAGGAAACGCGAAACCAGTGACTAGATCCATCCCGCTCTCCGTTAACGTTGGCCAGTAAGCCTGTGAATCGCCTTATTACGAGTGAGCTGAATAACATTCTCTTACAATGTTAAATTTTCTTTTATTCTGTTTTCTACAACACACGCTGGTTGGTTCGTTTTTACACAGTCTTCGAGTTATGAGCAACTAGCCAGTGACATTTTAACTTAACTGACATTAAAGTAACGTGTATCTTTGATCTTAGAACGCGGGCAGAACATTTTATTCAACCTGACTAGGAATGCGATTTTATATTGAAATATACAAAATGCGTTTTTATGCACATTTCAAGAGAGCCAAAGCACCAAACGTAACTGTGAAAACTCGTAGTCAGACCAGTTTCCAACGCTCGTTAGTGAAACACGACGTGAAAAGAGTGAAGAGCAGACGTTGCGACTGCCAGCGCCTTGTCAACCCTTTTGTTTCAGGCCCCCTCCGCACGTAAACGGCGTATCGGGCACCAAAAAAGCAAGATTTTTGAAAACGCCTGCTTGATAGGACGAAAACGGAGGCTTCCCAATTCAATACGATAATATCATTCTTGATACAGCGCATGCCCTTTAAGGGATGCTGTTGTGTTTTCGTTGTCTTAGCGTTTTCGTGTGGACGGGCGAAAACGATTCGAATACGCTACTTGTGGACGCGTATTTTTTCGACAACGGTGGAAGAAGTCTCCGTTTTCATTAATATCCGGATACGTGTGGACAAGGCCGCATTTGAGTGGGAACCCATCGGACCCATAGAGTGGAAAGTTTGAACTATACTTTAGATCAACAAATCAGCTTGAATGAAATAAGGGCAAATTAAATAGCCGCGTTCAACTGGTAACAGGTACTTGCCTGCATGCATTTCTAGACAACAGAAAATTCGGAATTATTCTCGCCTGTAAAACAACAGTTGACGTTCGTGAAATGTCACGAAACTTTCGAAAGTCCTAGAGAAATTTTAAAAATTTTCGAGCCGAGGGGGGGCGGGGGGAGACTCGATAACCATGCATTTTCATAGTCATAGCATGAATTTTTTTTTTCCAGAATTGAAGCATAATTCCATGTTTAAATTGAGGGTACCGTCTGAACTGTTTTTCTCAGGCATATCATTAGTCCTTGCCAACAACTTCCTTTAATCTTCCGCTTTACTTTTACTTGGCTCTTTGCCGGATTTTCTGGGATAAAAGGACGCTCTGTCTCTATCTATACAGCTAATCCTATTGCAAAATGGATAAAGCTATTATATATAAGCTTTTGCATCAGAAGTCAATGTTAAAGCGCTGATGAAATTCTGTTTTGTGTTAAATTTGCGATGTGTGTGACTTCTTCACTCTAGTTTAATAGCTGCCAGTGAGTAAGCGTCTTTTTACCCCCTCCGTTTTTGCTTTAAAAAGGAATAGATGTGGAGATCAGTTTCAAAAAACTGAATCTAATCCTTTAATTTACGATGTCCATTGTTAAGCCTAAAACAAATACGTTAAACCACCTAATCTACATTAAATTTCCATCATCACTTATGACAAGTAGACACTTGCCGAAATGGATTTGGAAGTCTCCTATTAAAAACTGTCCCGGTTGTATTTTTTGTGTTTTCATTTACTTGATCTGAGTTTTGGCTGTTCGCCGACAAAGTTAATTTTATTGAGGAAAAATAAACTGCGGAAAAAAAAACAATAGAAATTTCCAAACACACCACAATTGATTGTTTTATCAAAACAATTGCGCCTTGAAATAGTTAGGAAAAAGAGTTTTTCAAGTGCGTACCCTTCTCCTGACCATCTTGAAAAATTGGGAAAACGAGGTCGTTTGTTCTTTAAGAAAGCTACTGTGAAATCTGGCCATTAATGAAGTCAAAGCAAAATGTACAACATGCCTTTTGTTAATAATGTGCCCCAAGCTATTCAGCTTCTTTGCTTCGCCGCCACCAGGGGCGATTTAAAGACAAGTCCGGGAAGCATGAAAAATTACCTTTGTTTCGTGGAACTAACAACCATTTATCGCGTTTTTGTATTAATTTGATTTTAAACCAAAGAAATCGCAGCTTATCTTTTGTAAACCAGCGGAACCGGGATTTCACTGACTCTTAACGAGCAATATCGGTTTTTAAGCAGGGTCGATTTGCCGCACTCGCGGGGAAATTGTGACTTTTGGCATAATTCAACCACTTAATAATACACAAACGGAATAACATTAAAATTTCAGTCACTCGCATTCACCTCACTGACTTATTTATGAACGCTATAAAAGATCTATTTCTAATCCTTTGTTTATGTATAGCTATGTATCTAATAGAAACGTTCAGTGCAAGTACATCTCTCTACTGACCACTCACAGAGTTGCCTTCCTCAATCGGCAGCAATGGCAGGCTTCCCGGTGATGTTTTGACGATATTTGCTTTTCTTCCGTCGTAAATGTCAGTGATCTAAGGAGCTGCTTTGCTTCAAATGTGTGTGATATATTTCCAAAGTAAATTATGAAAATTTAAAATTATAAAAATGGCTTGGAACACCAGCTGCAAACTCTCCTAGATAACAGAACACCATTTGACGATCCCTTATTTTAGCTCTCCCTTTTTCACTGTGGTCAAGGAAAATGAGGAAGGTCTTTTTTTCCGACTTCTCTTACATCGCGAAAAAATCGCCTCTTTTTTATTTTTATAAGTGTTTATAATGTGGCTTGCTCTAGCTTTTTAAATAAATTTTCTTTTGTTTTCTATTATTATTTGTTTTCCATTATTTTTTGGGAGGATAGTGCGGAATGCGTAATGTACTATATAAATTGGTTCCTTTGTCGATTTTGCTCTCTTCTTTCCATGGGAGCGACAATCTTGTTTGCCACCATCGTCGAAATTGTTTGTGGCTCAGTTTCAGACGAGATTAACCGTATCGAGTAACGCTAGTCTCTTGAAACGTTAAAAAGAGATTGGAATACCAGCTATGTAGCATAGATTGACTCCACACCAATCTGCACTTTATCACTCACTAGAAAAGCTTAGTTATGCATCCCTGTACATGTCCGAGGATCTCGATAAAGAGAAATTGATTGTCAGCGTTCGAAAGCGTGACCCGGAAGCTGTCGAGGCAAGCTCACCTGGCTGAACTCCGTCCCTTCTACACAGTGATTTGAGCGCGCGTGAGAAATCGCGCTTGAGAAACGCGTACAGAAAGGGGTTGACAAAAGCCACCGAGAAACGAATGTAATCAAACGCCATGAACAGTTCATCGGACAGCCCCAGCACGGATCCGGGCAGTACTGCAAAAAGAAAACCACTTACATAAAAGGAAAGCCAGCAAATTATGAAGACTGTAAGCATTATGGCGAAAATACACAAGGCTCGTGCTTCAGTGGCGATGGGTGCTTTTTGATTTGCGTGTCCAGCACTACGAGTGTTGTACAACCCTCGGATCTCTTTAATTTGTCGGTGAATGACCAGAAACATGCGGACATAGCTGTAGGCCATTATTATTGCGGGGAGAAAGAAGCAGAACACGCTTCCAAAGATGTGGTATCCCACATCGAACCTTATCTCTTCAGGGGTTTTCGTTTGGTAAAAAAAGTTTGAAGGGTCAAGCCAGGCGAGTTGAATCAGAGCGGCAAACAGGGAGAAGATCCACACTGAGGCTATGACCATGAGTAGACGCGGTACAGTAACGATATTTATGTACTTCATGGGGTACATTACATAAATGTAGCGTTCAAGAGTTACTAGTAGAATGTGGTACATGGTGGAGACAGCGATGAAACGATAGATAAGAGCACCTGCCATGCACACCCCAACACCGAGGAAGGCGTTACAAATCACATTCATTGGTATCCCGACCAGGCCGACCAGTAGATCGGATACAGCGAGGCTGATCAACAAACTGTTGGTCTTCGTTTGCAGATATTCTCGACAAACAAACAGCGAGATGACCAGCAAATTGACGGCTATTACAGCGACGCTGAGAAGGATGAGAAAGCTGTCGAAAACCGCATCGAAGTACGAATCAGGGAGAGTGTCGTTGTTTTCCATGTTCAGCGATATTACTTTATATTCACTAAAATGCGATCCAAATGCACACTAGAGAAGTTTGTTTTGACTTGCTCGTAGATTACCACGATGACTACGACTTAATTTAACAGATTCAAGCTTCTCTGCGTGGTCCAAAGATTGGGATTAAACTCCTAAGGTTATCTAGTTTAAATGTCTGTGAAGAGCTCTCTCTCTCTCTTGAACTGGAAATATTCACCCGCTAATCTTTCCTTTTCGCAAATCCCCGTCCTGCGCAACGGTTAAACGCTTTGATTTCTTTATCTGCGTGGTCTTTCTTTGGCGATGACTCCTCTTAGACGTGCAAACCTACAGTATATTTTCTTCTTGACAGTTTTTAAGGTCGGCCAGATTATTTTTCCACTTGTCTCCTATCCGAATTAAGCAACCCGATCTTCTGAATGACAGAAATTTGCAAATTCTTTCACGACTTAGTTTCAAGACGTTGACGAAACACGATGAACCTCCTTTTCCTCAGTTAAGCCCTCGCCGTAGGTAGTTCTTGACAACCTTTTATATTCTCCTGGCTAAAGAGCGCTTCCTTCACTTTGGCAGATTATCAATTAAGCGAATTAACGCCGAGGTTTTTCCACTAATGTGCACAAAGAGACAACAATATTTTTTGTTGCCCTGTTCTGTTTAAATACAAAACCCTGCTCGTGGGCTAAAAATCTGTTTGGGTTAAAAAGCACTACTGAAAGTGATACCGTTTTCACTTGACTTTCTGAACGACAGTTCCTGAAAAAGAAGTCGTCACCAGGCGGTGCGGCAAAGAGACGCGTCGAGTCTTTCCGAAGTGCTTGCTGTTTTAGACCACGTTCATTGCCATTAACTTGTCTCCCACGCACAGTGGAAAGAAGAAATTTAAAAGGTGCTGAAGTCGGCGCGGGCCAATGACTTTAGGTGTTATTAACAGAGGGGAAACACGAGTTTTCCTTGCTCAAATTGTTTTGATTGACCTCGCGATGGTCAGTTGAACCTTCACGTGAGCAATAAATGAGCTGAATTGGGTGGCTTTTCGTGGAAATGTCCTCTGTGTTGTTGGCCGACTTTTTCTTTCTTGTTCAAACAAATGATCCGTCTCTTTGTACCAATTGTCGATATTATCGGATTTCTATTTTGGTTGACTGGGTACGACGTTTGGAGGCCAGCTGTTTGTCAACGAGTTTATAATGATTTCAACAGATAAGCGGTTCTGTAGGCTTTCATTTCCCCTCAAGAGCGGCACCGTTCGTTTCGGTTGATCTTCGCTGAGAAAAAACAATAAAAAACTTAAACTTAGAGCCTCCTCAGGTAACCTCCTGCTCTGCTATAAATTCAACAATAAATGTACTAAAAGGATATAGGGGCTTCATAAATACTTCTGCAAGAATAAACAGGCTATTCATCACTGTTTGTACAGCCTTGATGCCTTGTGACGTGTTTTATGATTACCGGAAAGTAAGTTTCATCGAAGACAAGAATCCTCCCCTACTCTCAAGCCTTTCACCACCGTTACCATAACAACCTTGACATCGGTAATTTTGCGTGTATGAGTTTCGCAGAGACGACAGGTTTTTCGAGACGTTTTCTCAACAAACATTGTTTTTGAACTGGGCGGTTTTCAGTCCTGGTTATTTACTTTTATTGTACACTATGTGAAAAATAAAGAAACAAAGAAATGACTCTACTCTTCAAAGCTTGCGAATTTGCATGAGACAAACTTCATACAATTTGATGCTTTTGAACGAGAAGGAAAAGAAAAAAAACAAAGATTTACATATTTCATTTTACAAAGATAAAACTCCGTTGCAAAAAAAATACAATGCCCTCTTTTAAACGATTTTTCCTGAGGAAAAGAGTAACTGTTCTATAGTATTTTTATCCAGTATTCACGCATGAATTTTCCGGAAACATAGACAAGATTGTTAGCTAATGAATGTTCGAATGAAATTCAGAATTTCTCCGGAAACGGTTGTCTTTGTGCCCATAAACAATATTTTTGGCTTTTAAAGGATTTTGTCTTAGTTGAATAATTCAAGTTAGATTTTTACCCAGACTAATTATTTCTCACCCGGGAAGATAATTATAAAATTCATTCATTTTCGAATTTTAAATACCGGAGGGAGAAAAAAGATACATGTATCTTCTCGATTTCTATATTTTAAATTACTTTTTTATTGCATAATCTTTGAGCTTAAAACTGAGGGAAAAATGGCAATAACCCTCTTTATTTAAACAAAATGACAACACACTTGATTAAAATTTACAAAGCTTTTCTAAACTATCTCCTTCAGAGTTAATCTTTTTCTTCCAAGGACTTTGCTATCGCAGGCATCTTGGCAACGAGCAAATTGAATAAATAGTTTAGTTTTTCTCTTTCGCGTACAAACAACTTTGCTCGCTCGATAAGGCGCTATTAATATAACCACAGTTTAATTTGCGTGCGCGATAATGTGTTTTTCTGAATTGAGAGTTCTGTCATTTATTAAAACAGAATCGGCTGTCATTTCTTGCAAAGGAATCGAATACTATTTCAATTAGTCATTTTCAAAACGTCAAAACTAAGGTAAAGTGATTTTTGTTTTAATAAATCGAAGAAAATGAAGCCCTAAATATCAAAAACGAGAATTTTCCAGAGCTTTTGTTTGATGTTTTGTTAAAAAGCTTTAGCAGTTCTTTGAATTACTGTATTTCAACAAATTGAGTTAGTTTTCTTTCGTGACAATTAACAAACGAAGCGAGGACAATTTCTTTTGCGTAATCAAAAAATATTGCAATACTCTCAACATCAACAGAAGCAAATAAACTAAAAAAAAAAAAACAATGTAATGCCACTTTATCACATCGCAATCAAGAAGAATCAACTTTAAGTTGTCTACCGTCCCTATCCCGGCCTTTATATAAGAGCCTCTTTTAAACGATGTCTTTACTAAAAGGCTAACGTAGCGAGGAGTAGCTTTCCTCAAAAGCCCTTCGCGTCATTCTACGCCGTTTAAGATCCCATTGTCATAGCCGGCTTTTGTTTTACCAATGTCCCAGTGATTCCTGGTAGTTCTGCCTTGTTTGTAAACAAAAGAACCGCACACCTGATGGGACTGAAATTTGGTTGAAGTCGTGCGCGACGCAGATCCCGAATCTCTCCCTCAACCCTCTTAACTCCAGGACCAACTCCAGTCAAACAACCCTCATATTAAACCAATTTCGTTTACATCAATGATCTGAATGATGACAAGTGTTTGGCAAAAACTGACCGGAAAATGGATTGCGAATGGCATAAAGGCGATCGTCGTCTACTGTTTTGACTAGAATGCTGATGTTACAGATTTCCCTCTTGCTGTTAACGAAACTTTCCACGAGGCACCTTACAATGACTACTATTCAGGGGCACCCAACGAGAATATGGTTCAAAACCACTTAAACATAGCATTGTTAAACGTATTTTAGTATTTAAACGGTAGATATAGGCATATTTTTAACCCCTAAAAATTTTTCATCTGTTCGGATTTCCTAGCTGAAAGTCTTGTGATCCGAAAATTATAGGGATCAAAACTTACCTTTTCAAAAATTTCAACCAGAAAAAAGGGTCCCGAAAATTCTAGGTGACCTTTTTAGTGTAAAAATCCGTTAAAAATAAGCAATTGTACCATTTTTAGATGTTCGAAAATCCTAGGAGAGGCAGGCAAGGAAGAAATTTTACAACAAATGTTTCGAAAATTCTAGATCTCAAATCGTCTTCCGAACAGATATTCTTCCGAAAATTGTCGTTGGGTGCCCCTGACTATTCTAAGGTACTTAACACCAGCTCTCATTCAACTAAAAATTTTTGTCTCGCCGTGGACCAAAAAAACCATTTACACCTCTAAATTTCCAGCTTTCTCCAACATCTTTATAGAAAGGGAAAGAAAGATATGATATGTCCATATTTTTTTCTACCGAGACAAAATAATCATAATAATATTGACGAGACCAATTTCTTGCCTTTTAGTGACAACAAAGTTTTCGTACTTTACTGAGTCATATAACATCCGCTCACGGGGAATACTGGCATTGAAATCAAATTTACAAGGTTTCCTATTTTTATCATGAAGTAAATCTCATGGAACTGAAAACTAAAATATACTTACGGAAAACTACGAAGTTGTCAATTAACTTAGTTTCTGTGTTGTTTTTCCTTAATTTTACACTTTAAGTCGTGGAGTTCGAAAAGCAATTAAGGTGCCCAACAAGAAATATATGTCATATATAGCCCATCTCATCCGAAATTTGTCCAACAAACAAAATTTTATTTGCAAAAAACTAGTCAACAAGCTTGCAATCTGATTCAAAATAATGCCTGAGAACTTATATTAAGATACTTACGCAATGAGGGGATTTCACTCTAGAGAACTGAATTAAAACCACACTGTCAACCTGACTCTCGAGTTTACCTGAACATTTTTTAAATGCTTTTCTTCCTTATTTACTAACAGCATTTATTTTCTGATGTCAGGAAGTCAAGCATAAAGGAATATTCTATACAGTTTCTCTAGTTTCTCCAGCTTATGTATAATTGCCCGTTGCAAACTGAAAGCCATTTTAAAGTTCACCCAAATTTAAAAAAAAAACTTCGAGACGTGGGACTAGTTTTTTTACTAGCTAGGTCTAGCTCGCATTATTTTTTCTAGACAATTTTCTCAAGCAAAAAAAAAATTAACATTGAAGAGGTTTCCCTCAGGAGACTTTTTATTTCATTATTATTTTCTTTTCTTCGCCAAAATTTATCCATGCGATCAAGTAAGTGACTATTTAATCGAATCTAATGACGCCTTTTCCCCAGTGGCCGTTGTGATGAGTACTTAGATATTATGTCAGTGTATACCACCAAAAACATCGGAAATTTGTGTTTCTTTTAAAGAAACTGTGTAGCGGAGCTCCTAATGACCGTTGGACAGCTTAACACTCGCAACTTTTGGGGTGCGTGCGGGTCAAAGCGACAAATTTTCCAAAATTGTTGGTTTTCGTGACTTACTGTATCGAAGTATTGTATGGAGAAAATGGTAACCTTAGGCTAAACGATCTGGGCTATTTTATACCCTAATCACTTCCCCATATTGCTTTTAACAATGTAAAAAAGAACAAAACCAACGCCCCTTAAGTTATACTGTTTCCGGGAAGATATACTCTGTAATGCATAAAACTAAGTTTCAAATAAAAGGTATTGCTCGGGGATTTTTTGACCTGCGACAAAAGATTAAAATCTTTTTTTGTGAAAAGCTATTCTGGGTAATATTTCATCCGAGAAGCTGTTCATTTCCTCCTTGAGATTAACAGAAATTTGAGAGTTGTATATTAATGAGAATTTTAGAAAGGAAATAAGTCAAAATCCGCAGGCTACGATTTCAGAGGTCCAAGGAGCGTAGGCGAAATTAATGTTATGTAAGGGGTGCAGGGATACACGCGCGCTTCAATAGCTTTGAATCCGTGCGGACACAAGGCTGACAGATAAATCACAGTTTTAAGGTCTCTTATTGCTCGGCCGGTATAATGAATTGGGAACTAACTCGCACATCAGAGATACCATATTTTATGCCGTGTTCTCCAGCTGTACCATTATATTTTCCACGTCATATTTTCCTGACATGTTCAGATTCTTGATTACTATCAATTAGTGATATTTAAATGTTATATCATGACTTGGATCTAGTTTTAAGCTGAACACCCATGAGGATTTAAAGGATTAAAAGCGCGCGCATACCCATTCAACTTGTTGTTTTCGCTAAAATCGCTAAGATTGCAATCTTGGCAGAATAAATTGGAACAGCAGCCCCAATCCACTCCAAATCAAGGATGAAGCTGCGCAAAGGGCAAAACGCGCCATTTTCTCATCTTCGATTTGGGGTGAAGGGGGGCGGGGGGGTGGTAGGGGACGAGGGAAGCGGTCTAAATTTTTCGTTTATTTCGTCAAAATTGTAGCCTGTGTAGCTGGAGGTTTTGCTTGTAGAGCACGCAAATGACCGACAAGGCCGCGAGGAGTATAGGGCGGAAAACGCAGGCTTTGCGCGCGTTTTCGTAATGCGCGTGTTTTCGCAGCGTTTTTCCCTCTCGCCAGACAAACCACCAGCTACGCAGGCTAGGCTGTAGACCGACAACTGACCGATACATCAGTATCAAATATATCGACTGGATGTTGTAGAGAGCTGATCTGTAACACAATTGTTGAGATGGAGACAACAGCCGCAAAGCACCGAGCAAAGTGTCCAAATTAACTTTTCACTGGAGTCACCAGAGAGCAAGGCTGAA